AAAATATAAGACCAAGGGAATGTAAAATGTCTAAAGCCCTTGGAAGAAGGCAGAACTTTTAGGAAAATGATCCAAAACAACCTCAAATTAAGGACATTTGTAAAAACTAGACCAATCGCATACCACAATTGAGAGGTAACATATTCTCCATGACCATTCTTGTATACCACAAAGCAGAAAAATTCAACCATTGTCATACCTCAAAAGTCATAATTTGGAGGCATTCTCATTCCAGAGCCTAATATTTGGATCCATTGCCATACCAAATGTTAAAAAAGAGGTACCCCCTGTCAAGGTTTATATACAGTGAACTCCTCGGATGTAAAATATAGCTTTGACTTTTTCCTTATTCCTAGCATGTTCAGAAATTCTTGTTGGTCTGTTTGGCAGACATTTAAATTTCAGCCAAAGATATCTGGATCTGTATCGCTTTTGGACTAAGTACTATACAGATACGAATGACCACATACCCCCATATCATTTTAGGGTAGGCAATGAACTGAAATGGGTACCCACAGTATTTAATTGTTAAAGCTATATAATAATGTGTATTAAGCCTCTACCTCAGTCCAATGTTTTATCCAAGACATCCAACTGGACTCTCAACTGACCTCTTCCAGAAACTCAGTGCTGATGTCAAAACACAGTAGAACCATCACCTTCAATGAGCTCACGGTACCTTCAGAAACGGACTAAAATATCTCATCAGCTTAAAAATCCAAGACCTATTTGATGAGGCTAAGACAAGAAGGTGGTATGCAGTTATGCAACCAATAGAAGTGGGATGCAGAGCCCAGCCTCTTCACTATGCTTCCTCTTGTCCAAGTTAGAACGATTTACATCCCAGATGCGAGGACAAGGAGTGGAGGAAACATCTGTGAAACACCATTGTGTTGGGCCAAGTAGAAGACAAAAGCTTATCTTCGTAAGGAGAGATGAAGCCCACAGTGTTAGTGGACGGTTTCATCACTGGCAAGTTAAAAAGATCAGAGAGCTCCAACAGATGTTCCTTAAGAGGTTACGTCATCTTAGTCATCCAAAGATTCTTCTTCCAAAGATAGAAACACTCAGGAAAAGTGTAGGACCAGGAAGACATTCTTTGAAAATCTCTATAGGCTCACATCAAACTTGTTTGGGAACCAAAGTGTGCCTGTATGGCATGTACGCGGGATCAAGCAGAAGCAAATACTTTGGCAGCACACAGTGACCCAGATCGAGAGGTGCCATTAGGTAATATTCCAATTGACATCCCACCAGATTTATCATCAAAACTGTTTGACCAGTCAGATTTCAAGCTTGATGAGGTAAGAACAATCATCAGGAAGGCTTGGCCCCAGGTCCAACAGGTGTGACATACAGGGTGTACAAGAACTGCCGTAAGCTGTAAATATATCTATGGCGATTGCTAACAAGCATCCAGAACAAGAAAAATTTAGCAAGGACTTGGGCCTTGCCGGAAAGGTGCTTCATTCCAAAGGAGCTAAAATTTGAGGGACTGAACCAGTTCAGGTAGACATCATTATTGGATGCTGAGGGAAAGATCTTCTGGGCCATTATGGTCAAGCCTCGCAGTTATTTCCTACTGGCTTGCCAAGCATTCAGAAAAGTGGTATCCAAAGACATCAAGGGTGTCTGCATATAGCAGCAATAAGCCAACTTGTGAAGGAAGCCAAGAAAGAGAATCAGTAGTTTGGCCGGATGGACCTAAGGCATACCTAGTGTCCCTCACCAACTGATACTAGAGGTACAAGTTTACTTTCACGAACCAAAACCAACAGATGTAGTCAATCTGACAATGGGACACACAAACTCCTTGAAGTTGCACAATACATTTGGCAATTTTACCACTAATTAGCAGAGTTCAGAGAAAGGCATAGTGGCAGACTGCACTGTATCAGTAGTTCTCTTCGTAACATCCATGAACTTACTGCTCAAGGCAGGGATCATGCAGTGTAAGGTTCCACAAGCAAATGAAGGTACAAAACACGTACCATACAGAGCTTTCATGGATGACATCACAGTTATGACCAGTTCAGTAGTGGGTACCAGATGGGTTCAATTAGGAAAGAATGGCAAACTGGACTTGCATGAAGTTAAACACCAACCAGGTCAAGAAGCATGGTTTTGGTTGATGGCAAGCTTTCTCCAATGCAGTTCAAAATAAAGGGCAGGCAAATATCAACAGTGCAAGATAAAAGAATCAAATGTCTAGAGAAGAACAATGACAAAACCTTGTGTGGTTTGAACAATATAGCTGAAGTCTCAAGGGACCTGGACAAGTGGCTTAAAGCCATTGACTCAATTCATATATCGGGGCCAACTGCCCCAAGTGCATGGCAACTGAATGACACATACATTAAATCATATAAGAGTATTTGGGTTACAGCTCCCACTGATGGACAATACAGATGGCGTCATGATTGAGGCTGAGGATGCCCATACTTTGATCTGGGCCTATCTTCAATATCTATCTTGCGTTTCTTTGATCTGGGCATTATTAACCACTACCACTTCTAACATGTCTCATCAGATCGACTTTTGCATATGTGACAATAAAATAGCCTGACTTGTATTGTGCTGTCATACTGGAATTACACTATCATAATGAACACTTCATGTACTTGTAAACAGTGCATGCAAGATGCAAAATTTGGCCAACATTTCACCAATGAGCAACATTGGGCTCTATCTACATGACTCTGCTAGAGCAGCTTCAGCCTTTGAAGTTGACAGTAGTGTTTAGAAGTTAACATTTTGAACAAGAAGTGCCAACCCCCCCCCCCCCCCCTTTCAGTTACATAATCGTGTGAAGTGTCAACACTTAATTTCTTCCAAAGTTTTTCCAAAATTTCAATTGCAAATATGTTCAAAATTAATGTACCTATATATTCAAAATCATAAATGCTCATAAATATCCAAGACTGTTACCCAGAGGGAGAGATATTGGTCGTTACCATTGAAAAAAGCCAAAAATGATAGAGGTTGTCACATATTATGCAAATGGGAAAATTTGCATAATTATTGCATTTTGATAAGAATATTATAATAGCTCCATTTTGGTACCACTTACAGCTTTCAATTCTCAAAACTGTGGAAGTTATTGTACTTTGAAATGATTAACATCAACTCTTTCTCAAGAGTGCCACGCCCCTTTTCAGTAACATAATCATGTGAAGTGTTAGAACATAGTGTCTGACAATGTTTTTCCAAAACTTTCAATGGCAAATATGTTCAAAATTGATGTACCTATATATTAAAATTCATTTATGTTCATGGATGACTAAGACTGGTCACTCAGGCAGCAAGGTATTGTGCGATACCGTTGTAAAGAAGCAAAAATTACGATTAATGATGTCACATTTTATGCAAATGAGATTATTTGCATAATTATTACATCTTATAATAGAGGATACTATAATAGCTTCATTTTGGTACCACTTACAGCTTTCAGTTCTCAAAACTGTGGAAGTTATTGTACTTTGAGATGATTAACATCAACACTTTCAAAAATTCAAGATGGCTGACAAGATGGCCGCCAATGGATACCATGGGACAATATTTCATTCTGGGAACATGCAAAAATCTTTAGTATGGACCTTTAGGATTACAAAAATGTGCATTAAAAAAATACATCTTTTGGGTGCATGGGAACCCCTTCTTCCTACCCGTCTATTTATGCAAAGCCTTAATTTGTAGGGAATTGTTTTAAGTTCCCAAATAAACCCCACATAATATTTTTAAAAAATTGAAATCTAAGACATCTTAAACTATAAATATATTGAGCATGTATTTTGTGGATGGCCTGTATTCACATGTTGTAACCACCCAAATTGGGGAGGATACAAATAAAACCAGTGAAATAAAATGAATGGGGTAACGTTCTGTTTATGCCTTTGCCTACTGAAATAGTTGTATACTTATTGTTTATCCTTACTTAAACTGATTATTTCATAAATCAAATATTTGAAACTGTTGAAAGTGAGATACAAGGCTTGCTTGTTGGTCTGATGTAAAACGAACTTGTTGTTCAGGAGTAATGCCCTCTGAGCATGTAACTTGAGAGAAAACTTGAGATAAGTTGGGTTAATAGGGTGAGACCTGTCTGATCTCTGAACTAGTGAACTTGAAATGAAAGCAAAAGTTAGCATCACCGAGGTGGAGTCTATTTCAATATTAGAGACAATGTACCAATGTATGTGAACATTTGTAAAATTATTTGACGAGCAAGATACATAGGGCTCTGAAGAGATAGTGTTTTGTAGCTTATTTGATGAGCTAAAAGGACTTTACAATATCTCCCCTCTTTACTTCCATGTTAATTCCAAGTCAAGAATTTTTCTCCATTTTCCCCATTATAAAACTTGACATGTTTCTTTGATATTTATATGTCCATTTTGAAGTACATGGTTGATTAATTAAGAAGTTTTGATAATCATACGCATTTTCAATTATATAGGAAATAATCTTCTACTAGGAAATTAGTAAATAAACAGCCTGCTAATGTAACTTTATAATGATAAAATAGTCTTAATAACATTTTCAAATTATTTTCCTGTGTTGCTATGATGTTTGTGGTATATAATTGTATAAAAGAAATATATATATATAAAAGAAATATATATATATATATATATAATTGTCGATTCTCTAGTTATTGGTAATTTCCTGTCCATTTTCTCCTCATTTTTCAAAAATATGCTCTAGAGCCGATGAACTGACCTTGGTCATTTGGAAGTTTCCTGACACGCCAGCCAATTGAGAATTTTATATCACGAAATATTGGACATTTTCAAAAAGAAAATTCAAATGACATTTTTGCAATGCTAATACAGTCATTTTCATGATTTTATACATAAGAAGGATAATTAACTGCCTTCATGTAAATGTGAAAACTAACCGCCAAACCATAAAATGTCCATTTTGGCACAACTTTTGGTTAAACTGATACTACATTGTAAATGAAACTATTTTTCTCTCATTCGTGATTTGTGTACTTTCAGTTGTGTGCCATAGCAGTGACATCATCGATGTGCGTGTATCAAGTGGAGAAATCAAGCATGGCCCAGCTGCTGGTCGACAAGTCATGCTCTATTTCATCTCTGGATATCAACTCCCTATTATAGAGTCTATAACTACAGATGATTTAAGGTGAGACAGGTTTAAATGGATGGGGCATAAAAATAAAATTTACAATGGTACAATATTTTTGTATTGATAGGGAAATTAACATGATGACTGCATACTTCAATTTTGGCCAGAAGTTATATCACCTCTTAAAAGTGGTAACATATTGTTATGGTCTTCGTTTTTTGTAGCAGTGATCAGCGGTTGGTGGCTCGGGATCATTGGTTGGCATCTGTAACAAATTCTTAAAACTTCCAATAACTTAACAAATACTGTTTAAACTAACTTCAATTTTTTCAAAACCATCTACAAGTTGTCAGAAGTTCAAATCTGACTTTACATTTAAGATGTGACCTTCAATGACCTTCTGAAGGTCAAAAAAGGTCAAAAAGGTATTTTTTCAACTTGCTTCAAATTGACCAATTTTTTTCAAAATCATCGACAAGTTGTCAGAAGTATAAATGTGACTTTAGATTAAAGATATGACTTTCATATCCTTTTCAAGGTCAAAAAAGGTCAAAAGGGTATTTTTTGAACTTGCTTCAAATTGACCAATTTTTTTCAAAATCATATACAAGTTAACATGACTGCATACTTCAGTTTTGGCCAGAAGTTATATCACCACCAAAAAGTGGTGACATATTGTTATGGTCTCCGTTTTTTTGTAGTGGCGATCGGCGGTTGGTGGCTCGCGAACACTGGTTGGCATCTGTAACAAAGTCTTAAAACTTCCAATAACTTAACAAATACTGTTTAGACTAACTTCAATATTTTCAAAACCATCTACAAGTTGTCAGAAGTTCAAATCTGACTTTACATTTAAGATGTGACCTTCAAAGACCTTCTGAAGGTCAAAAAAGGTATTTTTTCAACTTGCTTCAAATTGACCAATTTTTTCAAAATCATCGACAAGTTGTCAGAAGTTCAAATGTGACTTTAGATCAAAGATATGACCTTCATATCCTTTTCAAGGTCAAAAAAGGTCAAAATGGTCTTTTTTGAACTTGCTTCAAATTGACCAATTTTTTCAAAATCATCTACAAGTTCTCAAAAGTTCAAATCTGACTATAGATTTGACCTTCAATGACATTTTCAAGGTCAAGAAAGATTTGACCTTCAATTACCTTCTCAGGGTCAAAAAGGTATTTTTTCAACTTGCTTCAAATTGACTAATTTTTTTCAAAATCATCAATAGAGTTCTCAGAAATTCAAATCTGACTTCAGATTGAACTAATAATATTGTGAGCAACTAGGTGGTGACATTTTGTCATGTTAATGCCTTGTCATGACATTGTTATTATACACCTTGATAGGGGGGTCCAATGAAAGACTATGCCTAGCGACAGGGTCCCTAATGTATGACATATAATTATATGAATTAATGGCAATAAGATCTGTTGATAAAAGCAATGCCTATGATTCTAATTTAGAATTAATAAAAATGCAATGAATTTGTTATAAAATCATTTAATCCCTCAGAGTTCTAATGGTGCATCCCTCAAAGCCAAGTGGTATATGCAATATACACCTCAAGTATAATATAATAGGTGAATCCCTCAGAGTTATATCGGTGCTGATATTTGATGTTCTTCTAAACATCTCCATTTTGTTTCAGTGAATGTAATAAAACAGCAGGACTCATCAAAACATTCCTCGATATTCAACCAGTTGACGATACAACAAATGGCATCGACCCCAACAGCCAATCAGATTCCAGCGATTCTAACGAGAGTTTTGAACATATACAAAAAAGCGACATTGTTAATGAGGAAAATGAGACGGCAACACCAACTGGAGATAGTGATAAATGATTGGTGGGATGATCTAATGACACATGCTCACACCGGAATAGCCTGACTACCGTAGGCAGGCTATTCCGGGGTGATGCTATGGAATACTACATAATCTGATCATTACTACATGTACTAAATGCTTGTTACTGATCCTAAACGCACAAAAATTCAATGAACTCAGAACAATCTGTAACTTTCTCCATCAATAAATGTTGATATGAAATTTATTTTCTGTGTAAATTAAAATTCGAAAAAAATATGATATTTGCAGAAAAGAAGGTTTAAATTCTAATGATTGTGAAAGTAATTGGTTATTTTAAAAAATTGTGGATTTTAGGATCAGGGTTCGTCGATCAGAACCTTTTTAAGATTTAATTACATGATTGTAATAGCTTAATAGTTCGTGTGAAACAGCACATAATTTACTAAATATATATTATTGGGTAAGAAAAATAGTTCAAACATGAGCTACTTTAAACTGGTAAAATTGAAATCAAAATTGGTGAATTAAAGTGGCTGCTTTATTCAAACAGAAACCAGATTTTTCATGGCAAAAGTACTGTTGTTGAAAATGCCAATTTTGTAAGCTATATATTTGTTCAATTTACTCTGCAATTGGTGTTCTGTTGAAACCAAACTGTTGTATCCAGTTATATTGTATGTATGGAAATAATATGAACTGTTGTATCCAGTTATATTGTATGTATGAAAATAATATGAACTGTTGTACCAGAGTGTAAAAAACATACTCTCTTATATTGCTAAAATGTACTTTTACACTATTACACATTTTCTTGAGATTTACATTTTGACGCACTTTAACATTTATATATACACAATATTTGGAATATTTACTTTAATACTGCTAGGTGAACTTTTATGTTCAGTTGTGTGATATTTTAATATGGAACTCATGATGGCTTACCCTGATTTCCCATCAACAAGACAAACCGCAAACTACACTCTTACTATTACAGATAATTTTACAATTAAATTAAATTAACTATTATATGATCTGAACAATCTCACACAGTGTTATTTGGGTATTTTGGGATTAAAAATGTAAAATAAACTTTAGCCATTCATTGTTAGAATAATGATTTCCTGACTACAGATGTACATATTTTGATTCCATACAGAGATTAAGAATTGTATCTGATGTAAAGAGTCAAGATTCAGTTAGGTCTTGTCAAGGGTATTGATAGAATTTTGTCATGTTTAACTCTAGGCCTTAATCAAAAAATAATATGTGTTTTATTCTTCCCTGAATATGATATTGTCACTTGGATAAAATCCATATTTAATCCCTATCAGTAAATAAGCTCTACAATACATTTTATGAACATTTATGAGTATACCTCAGTATTAAGGAATTATATACGACTGGAAAATATTCTGGTCTTACTGATACATCTTAAACCCTGAAGAGTCAAAACTTTTCCAGGAATACTTATTCTGTAATTTTGACACAAATTTTTTCATTTTAATAGAAAAAATGAAAAGAAAAAAAAACTAAAAACTGAAGCTTCGTAAAATCTCATTTCAAATATTTTCAGTAAAGTTTTTCAATTCACACTTGGGTGTACTGACTTTTTCACAAAGATTGAGCACATTTTGTGTTTACATTAAACGGGTTTTACTGTACTTTTAATTAATTTTTGTCACTGCTGAGTGTATTATATGCAGTTTAATAATTTTGGGCCATGTTTTTGCATCCTCCTAAGCAGGTGTCCATAATCCATACCTCCTTCTTCAGGTTTAGAAATAAAGTATTCTGATTTGATTTTGGAGCCCTGCGTACGGAGGAGTGTGTTTTTGTTGTTATTTACTATTTATATTCAGTAAACTTAATTTGTAAAAAGGCAGTATATTTCCTATCATATATGCGTATGATGTTGTGCAATAAACACATGTATTATTAAGGCATATCAATGAATTTCACATGTTTTGTTTGCTTAATTATCCCATGTTTTAAGATTGAAGGAATTAGCGAATAAAAATATGTCCTTGGGCCTCAATTTGAAATTTATCCAGGTAGCTGACATACAAGTAAATTATACCAGCTCCACATGGATCATGCGCTGGTGCCGTAGTTCCCCGTCCATCATACCCACATCCCTCATAGTAATAAAAATTCCCACTTCCACTCAAAGCAGGCCCACAGTTTCCTTTCACTAGCCTGTATGGGACGGCTCCACGATCTGCACACATCTTGACTTGGACCTTCACTAAGTGACAACTAATTGGTCCAAATTCCATCTCAACCAAATTTCCGCCATTTGGTTTGCAGCTATACCAGTTGTTAATGTTTGATGTAACTAGGAACTCCTGGCCGATTGATTTCCATAAAGGGAAGCTCAGTGCACCTGGTGTCGTGATATCCTTTGGTGGTGTCACGGAAATGTCACCTGCGATCTCTGTCTCATACATTCGCGTATTCCAATTTGGACGTGGGATAACATAGTTACTATCTGAACTGAAATGGGTAGGTTGTTTAAATCCATAAGTCCACACTAATGTCCAGCCTCCCCCGTAAGTGTCCATGTCACAGAACATTTCAACGGTATATGTTGAACTGAAACGAATCCAGTATGTTCCAGATTTTAGGTTTTCATCTCCGCTTCTCTTTTGCTGAATGTCTTTACAGCTAGATCCAGGAAGATCTCTAGACTCTCCGTAACCCTCTATAAAACGTATAAATATTTATTCATTTTGAAACTTGAACTCGAATGATAAAATCTTATATGGTTTTTACTTTTTCAATATACCTGTACATGTAATGGAATGGAATACTAGTACTATACTAGATACTATATTATATCTTATGGAACTGCCTTATGAATACAGTATAATCTTGACTAAATAAGACTTATCTATAGGAGGACTGACAATCATCATTGTATTTGATATTGAATTTTCTTTCCAATGGTATATAGCATTTTAGTAAATATAATTAAGTACATGGAATTTGTAGTCATTTTAGCCATTTGTATTGGCCAACCCTGTAAATCTAGTGTGATATTTATCAAATTATCAATGTACAAAATAGAATGTGGCAACCATTAATATGCCTCAATTCCTTAATGCATGATTGTAAAATACGAATAGCACTGAAAAAGAGGAGTACAAGAATATACATTTTAATTGAGGCAAATTTTGAGTTCTTACCATTAACATTGCCAGTCTTTGTTGTATTCCCCTGAATGGACAGTGCTTCTTCTAGGGCTGTTGTTCTTGCTTTGAGTTCTTCTATTGCATTTTCTAGATTCTCAATTCCCAAGCTATTTGATGCACCTGTGGTATTACCTGAATCATTCAATGGAAAATGTAACAAAAATTATTTAAAAACATTTTACAATATTAATCAAATTTGAATGGATTGTTTTCTGGTTTAATATCATAGAGAAATGCCAATGAGCCTCTATTCAAATTACTTATTAGTCCTAAAAAGAACCTTTCACATTCAAGAGAATTTCACATTCAAGAGAATTTACTCCCAGACTCTTTTTGAGATATACACTCTACTATACCTTGCATTTGGTGCTCATAAGCAACCTATTTGGCTTATTAGTAATGATTATGTTATTTGTTTTTATGTGTCTGTTCCTTATGAATGGTTTATCGGATGTTTATTAGATGCTAATAAGGTACTTTCAAAAATACACTAAACAATACATTTAGACAAACAGAGTATCTTATGCATTTCTAGGGGTTAGGTATAGTAGAGTGATAGACAGGGTGGGCCATAGAAAATGTATACTTTTTTGTTTTGTTAGAACCTTTCTATTTAGGCTTAGATTTAAAACAATATTCTTTCTAGAGATGCAGAAGTAGGGTAAGTCTGTTATACAATCATTTCCAAATTAGCAAAAATCTTGTATGTTAACCTTTCTTTAATCAAATACATGTGTATTAGTATTTAATACATTTTAATTATGAACAATTGCAAAAATGCAAAATGCATCTTCAACATTTTTTTAATCCATATTTGAATATTATAGCAAAATAAAAAATGTGAATTATGTGGCCCAACCTGTACATTGTAGAAAACATATAAATATAGATACCATCCACTCGAACTTGAGTCCTCACAGATTCATTGCTCTCTGGTTCCAAAACACAAGTCCCTTTTAGTATTGTTGACCTTTGGGCACATGTCCCCATGACAACCATCATGCATATAGCCATTGTTACCGAAGTGATTCTTCTCTGAACGGCCATGTTGGAATTCTTTTAGACAGTCTAAAAGAATTGTCTCCTCTCTAAAGCTGACTCTGCTTGTGAACTCTAAATAGAGACTGACAGTGTAATTTCTCCCCCACTTACAATAAAAGCTTGCCACAAACCATTATTTAATTAAGTACTTCAGAATTAGTGTCAAATTTCATATGTGACATATTGGTAATTTCCTACTAATTTCCCTTGACAGGATAACAACTAGAACCGGTTGCTTTAAGTTACAATTACATTGTAATGGTGCATCCAACATCATTATTGTGGTGCATTCCTCTAAGTTACAATAGCGCATCCCTCAAACTTATAATGGTGCATCCATCACTATTATGATCTTTATCATTATTTTAGTGGTACATCCCTCAAAGTTCTAATGACACATCCCTCAAGTTACAATGTTGCATCCCTCAAAGTTATGAGGTGCATCCCTCAAAGTTATATTGGTACATCCCTGAAACTTAAAAGGTGCATCCCTCAAAGTTCTAATTGTGCATCCTTCAAAATAATAATGGTGCAACTCTCAAGTTATAAAAGCATCCCTCATAGTTGTAAGGTGCATCTCTCAAAGTTATGAGGTGCATCCCTCAAAGCCATAATGGTGCATCCCTCAAAGTTATAAGATGCATTCTCGATCTTCAAAGTTATAATGGTACATCCTTAAAGTTCAAAGGTGCAACCCTCAAAGTTCTAATGGTGCATCCTTCAAAGTTAAAATGGTGAAACTTCTCGAGTAAAGCATCCTTCATCCCTCAAAGTTCTAATCATAAATGGTACATCCCTCAACATAATACTTGTGCATCACACAAAGTAAACGATGATTCAAAGGCATAAGGTGCATCCCTCAAAGCTATAACGGTGCATCCCTCATTATTCTAGTCGTGCTTCCCTCAAAGCTGTGATGGTGCATATCTAAAGCTGCATATGTTGATCAAAGCTATAATGGTGCATCCCTCAAGATTATAATAGTGCATCTCTCAAAGTTCTGATGATACATCCCTCATAATGTAAACCCCTCAACATCATAATGGTACATCCCTCAAAGTTTTAGTGCATCACTCAAAGTTATAATGGTGCACCCTCAAAGTTTTAAATCCCCTCTCCAATCTTACCTGTGTGCTTTTTCATTCTGATCAATTATAGTACTGACATCTTTATATGAAATAGAGTACTAATGTCCCAAGATACGTCATTCTTTTTTGGCCAATGGGATGTCTCGTTACAAAAGAACGAAGCTGACTACGCCTGCGCAATTTGATTGCAGCTGATGATGAAAAGTTAGAAAAGTTCGTAGAAATATCGATGATTAACACCCATTTTGCTGCTCTAAAAGGACACATATCACGGATTAACCATATGAGATAAACGTAGCAGGCTTAGAAGGCCTCATGAACCTCGCAAGCCAAGGCGGTGACCCAAATTCTTCGTTGTTATTTGCAAATTTCAACCAGGATTGTTCGTGAGTATAAATTTTTCAGACAAAAATATTTTGAACCAGAAATGTCCCAGTTCATCTGTCTGGTTTTTGTGATGACATCATCAATTTTGCCCATTCTTTCTTTGCAGATCGCTAGCAGTTGGGTCCAAGAGTGGTTACAAGCTATTCTCATTGGCTTCGGTAGAGAAGCTAGATCAGATCTATGAAAATGGTAGGTACAATAAAATGTAAACAAAAAAGTGAAGGAATGTCATTTGAGAATGAATAATGACAAACTGTCAACAACAAGCTAATGTTAGTCAATGATAGTCAAACTCTTTGTTCTTTTGACAGTTTTCTACGAATATACTTGTCAAGAGTCAATGATATAAGCAGGACATAGAGGTTATTTTCCTCAAGGGGGAGGAAGTTAATTTATCAGAATTTCCACAACAAACCAATATCCATTGTCAATAGAATATTGGAATTCTATCACGCAGTACGAATTATAATTACAAGCTACAGCTGACTGGCATAGATTATGGAAAATCTTGTCATACAATAAAGTAGAGGTCAATATATAGAGTTAATAGACTATAGACAGGTTGCCGTTTGTAAGGGACCTTGGCTAAAGCCCAGTAAATAAGGATGTTTGACCTTATCTTTAATTTGGAACAATACATCATCGGTATCGTATCAGCTAAACAATATACTAAACAATCCTCAGTTCAACAACAATCATCATACAATGTACATATAACTTTAGGGGTGTGATTACCTACATTACATGTATAAATGGATAATATAAGGTTTACTTTGTACATATACAATACCTATATGTACATCTAAATATGTAATCTGATAATCCATGAACTAAATCTCCCTAAAACCATATGCAAAGCCATATAATATAAGTTCATTGTAGGTGCAGTATGATTATTTTGTAACCATGGGCGTAGCGCCAGTTACGCTGGGTACGCACAGGCGTACCAGATGATTGCAAATTCGCTCCAAATACAACCAAATTTTTAATTTTTCCTGGGGGAGAACCCAGGAACATCGTTTTTTGATTCATTCAACTCTTGTTCCCGTGGTGGTGGCGTACTACTCAGAAAAATAGCGCTACGCCCATGGTACACATCTCATAGATTTTTGCTTATATAGAAAGACTATAGCACAGAAACTACATAAGACATATCATAACAATCAAAATGTATTTGAACATATATGTATCTTTCTAAACTTTAAATATATCTCCCGGGATATATCTGTTATTGATAATCTTTTACAGATAGGAATTCAGACACGAGACATGTAATGAGCACTCATTCAGTGCATGTAATTGTTCTTCACGCACTCATTCAGTGCATGTAATTGTTCTTCACGAACGTTCAGTTTATGCCTCTAGGTTCTTGGCAATGGTCCTAGGCCTCATGAGCTTTCATTCACTTTTAATGTTTAAAGGAACAGCAAAGATTAGGTACAATTTGAGAGTAATGCTCTGAAGAAATCATCATAATTTTACAATATTTTGGACTCTAAATGCATCATTGCCGTGCTTTTTTACTATATTTTGCCCTCACTTTAATTTCCTTTACATAGATATCATTATTGTGTATTTATTTCTATCCATTCATAGTCCTAAAGATAAATACCAATGCTAATGAGTAATACCCCTCAAACTAATGGAGTTCCTTTTATAGAGAACAATAATAGCAAATGCATAGTACTTGAATGATATTGAAAGTATGTGTGCCTTTATTCATAATGATTGTTCAAATGAAATTTCCTTAGATTTCAGAGTTAACAATCACCAAAATCTTATGAAAATTGCATTGATTTTAAATCATGAATAAAGCAATTCATCTTAATAATCTCAAAAAAAGTTCATATAAAGGTTTGCTTTTACTTTTGGGTTTAAGTGTATTAGTTATTGGCATAATACTTTTGCAAGGATTAACATATATCTTAGAGGCAAGTCTCAGTGTGTTTGTCCGCTAAATTAAATATTCAGTTTTATTTTGTGAATTAAGGTGAAAAGACGGGAAATGGCCATGCTAACCAAAATTCATTTTTTAAAGTTTCTTATTTTTATTTTCTTAATCAAGAAAATTACACTTTCTAAAACACCACATTTTACAAGGGTTGAGTGTAGAAGTTAGAATTTCAGTGCAAAACTTTTGAGACATCCCTCTGTGATGAATGAAGGTCGGGTCTGTTTTTAGTTCATGTAAACTGTACAGTTAGTACACTTATAAAAAACAGGCAATCATAAATATACAGTTATCAGTTTGCACTCTTGATTGAAGGCCAGTCCTGACTTACCCTGACATTTAGCGAGGATAATATCCTCTGATTAAACACTGATTGTTTCGAATACTAGTATTTTACCAATCAGAAAGCACCATGATGCTATGTTGAATTATTTAAACAAAATATAGAAAGCATCATGGTTGAGAATTGGCAGGTACTAATTGGTTGACAGATCAAAGGATTATCAGTAACGTAGAGTGAAATAAAACTCAACACTCTGATAAAGGGTAACTGGCCTGGTGATAGCTCCAAGGAGGATTAATCAATGAGCTACCCTTGGTAACTTGTTATAACATTTACTGGAATTCTCAGGGTCAAATCAATCATTCCACTGCTGTAGTATACATTTATACCTGGGAATCTGCATTAACATAAGGCTCTAACAAATAACTATCTGTTTAATGATGTTTATCTTTAAACCATCTTTGACCATCCTTGGTCAAACCCTTTTCTTATAACCTTGCAATTGAAGTGATTACCTTTATTAATGTAAAAAGTTTCAATATTTTTGATTAAAACAAAAAAGGTCGATTAGTTCTTCAAAAATAATCCCTGCAAAACAAACAGTTGACCTGTGTTAGCCTTGCTGTTTTTCTGATGCAGGTACAGATGCAGCTGATCATTATTCACTTTTTCTGAAATAAACACAGTGGATGCAGTCACTTTGTTACGGAACTGAATCTTTCTGTGTTAGTTATTTCTTTATTTTGTTCTTGTCTTTAAACAATTAGTTTCTTTCGTTATCTGGATGATTTGTGGCGCATCATCTATCATCGCCAAAGTTCAGTCAAAAATTATGCAATAATTGGATGTTGATAAAGCTTCCAATTGGGAGGCCATTAAAATTTGTAAACATAAAGAACTACCTTAAACTACACCTTAGTCATGTAATGTGTATTGTGGTGTTTTGAAAGAATTGACCTTAAATTGGAGACAATTTGAAATATGACCTTGATTACCCTTTAGCTTCATAAAGCATTTATTATCAAACTTTATTGTAATAACTAGGGAGTAATAATGCTGGTATTAACTCAATGCTATTTGACATTTGGCACGTTTATAAAACACAGTAGATTAAAAATAGAACCTGTCTAATGGAATACCTCTTTGTATAGGAGATCTCTACATATGAGTTTTATTTTGTATATCCCATGGATATTTGTGAGTCAACCCATTTCTGTGAGGAATATATGTTTTTATAACATACCTATGATGATGTATAGTGCAAAGTGTACACAAGACAGCAGGCCAATATAAGTTTTGAAAACCCCGCGCCCGCTAACTTTCTGATTGGTCAAGGCGCTGACGTCATAACCAATCAATCGAAGATAAAACTGCGCGAGCAATTTTTCTAAACTCATTTCAATCATTTTCAAACCATTTGTTTGTCAATTCTATAAGAAAATGGTACTCTCTGACCAGTCTACATCATCATAGGTATGTTATAAATCGTTTATGTCACTATAGTGGCACATATGCCCTTGGTTCTCAGAGATCAATGTCCCTCCCAAGGTTGGGCCATATATGACTGAGACCTGGGGCATATATGCCACGATAGTGACATAACCTCTAAATATGAGACTTGAATATACAATACAGAGAGAATCGAATATTTGTAGGTTTTCACTGGCGGATCTAGAGGTTTTGTCCCAAAATATTTTAAAAGGCACACTTTATTCCTTAAATAATTGATTGAAATGATAACATTTTTTCTATTGAACAGTCTATTGAACAATCATGAATTCTTTCCACCTGCCAATTTGTACCTAATGTTAGATGCTTAAGCCAACAGGGGTTTCGCTATACTTTAAAAAATATTTGTTAATGAATGCGTTAAATTAATGTTCTTGGGTGATTAGTTCTCTTCTTTGTGGTATCCCCTTAACTGATTGAGTGTTAAAATATAAGGAAAAGAGTTGTAATAAAGTGTCTGAAAAACAATTGAGGAGAGAATCAAATAGCTTTTGTAACACCTTGTAAAAAATAAAGAAACAGTTTCTAGTCAAAACATTAACTCCTAAACCGTATTGGAAACAACTAAGTTGCTGCCACAAGCCATGCAGAAATGTTTAAAAATAAATACATAATACAGGGATTTCACTAGAATTTTTCACAGCAGGCTAAATAAATGCAAACAACAGGCAAAATCAATGGAAATCATTAATTTAACATGGAACAGTTGGAGAGTCACGAAAAACAACAGACGATTTTGTGAAAACAACCGGTGAAAGTGACCTGTTTTCTGTTGCTAATGAAAAACCTGTAATAATTATTTTCTGCTTTCAGATAATGAAGATACCTGTATCGTGGAGAGATTATTCTCTAGCAGTCTCGTAGCCATAGTCAGTCTCTCGTCACCACGGAAACTTAAAGTGTGCCATTTTAAAAAAGGAACGGAAATATGCAACTACAGTTACTCCAATACGATTTTGTCAGTCAGGCTAAACAGGCTGGTAAGTGGATGTTTTCAGTATAATAAATGAGTTTTCAGAGAATATGTCTAACTGGATGGGGGTATACTGTTATGTCTCCTCACATTATGCTATTTCAATTAAAGAATTAAATCTCATATTCCAGCGTTTGATCGTATGTCTGGAAGAAAGCTTGTACATACACAACATTCGGGACATGAAGGTGCTTCACACGATACGTGACACCCCGTCTAACCCCCAGGGCCTGTGTGCCCTATCAACCAACAATGACAATTGCTACATGGCCTACCCTGGCAGTAACCAAATAGGGGAGGTGCAGATATTTGATACAGTTAATCTGGTAAGTTGTTTTTTACAAGTAGAGTTACAAGTATAAACTAAAAAACTCAAAATCTGAACAATTTCTCAGTTTTCATCTTTTTTATTTTACTAGAGTTCTTATTATCCATTTACTTTATTAAAGATATTGATTGTGGGCACTTCAAAAACTTATTATGCCCGACTTATTATGTTCTAGGCATAACCTTTCTTTTACATTTTTCTTGATTTTTACATGCCCTCATTCCTTAATGTGGCATTTGTCTGACATGCCCTTCTGTCTTTAAGTTGGCCCTGTCTGTATACTGCACTAACCATTTAATTCAGTAGCAAGATGTCCTTTGTCTTTTGATGTACTTTATTTTGGGTGTCTACATGCCCTCTTGTTACTACATGCCCTTTGTCTATGTATCATGCCCTTTGTCTACGTATCATGCCCTTTGTCTACGTATCATGTCCTTTGTCTACATATCATGCCCTTTGTTTACATATCATGCCCCTTGTCTACATATCATGCCCTTTGTCTACATATCATACCCTTTGACTATATATCATGCCCTTGGTCTACATATCATGCCCTTTGTCTACATATCATGCCCTTTGTCTGCATACATGACCTATCTAAACTTAAACATTGTCTTGATCATGCTGTGATATTAACATTAAACACTCAAGTCCATATAGTGTTCTAAGAATTTGCAACTGATTTCTTTAAATATTTACATAACAGTGTACTTAAAGAAACTATAGAAAAAATAGGAACTGAAGTCTGGAGGTCGCTATGCCCAAAGGAAAGAAAATGAGGGCTATCTTAAAAATATATGAGTTTTGATTACAAATTTAGTTTCATGTGAACGAGTGAGTTTTGGTTTTAGTACTGTGAATTAAGTATTGGAATAAAATCAAATAGCGAGGGACTTGAAGTCTTTTTGTGAGGTTTTGAAAAAACAATGATCACACGAGGACTATCTAACTGTTGGATGTTAGGATGTTATGAGTTTCAAGAATTGTTAATTAAATAGACTGTCTGCTATAGCTATATGCTTGATACAAGTCGTTTAATAAACACTCTTTGACATCTAAATGAATATTGATCTGTTAATTGGTACATCATAGTACAGAAACAGGTATATATAACTGGGGTTCTTGTTTTAATCCCTGCCAGTGATAAACATGGCAATATTTTTTAGGCCCTTCAAAATTTTTTCGCAAAAAATATAAAAGTTGCTCCTTTACACGTTTTTTAAAAGTTTTAAATTACTTCTTTTGGAAAGTAATCATTTTCTTTATGTATTAATATACTCCATGAACAAACTTCATGGTTTCATCTATGTTATATGATAATTTCTATTCAAAAAAATTTGCAAAGTTTTACTCCTTTTGGGAAAGTAATCATTTTCTTTATGTATTAATATACTCCATGAACAAACTTCATGGTTTCACATATGTGATATGATAATTTCTATTCAAAAAAATTTGCAAAGTTTTACTCCTTTTGGAAAGTAATCATTTTCTGAATGTGTTAATGGACTCCATGAACAATCTCCATGGTTTCACATGTTTCAACAGGAAATCTCCCACGCCTCTCGCATCATGTCAGTACCTGACATATGGTTTGTGTTAAATTGACATTTAGTGATGTATGTCAACTTGTGTAATTTTTCAAGAAAGAACTTGCTTCCAGTACCTCTTTCCTACTATGCTTGCAGGGACAGAGGGGAGGGGTTAATGTTCTCTCATATAATGATATGACCAATTTTCTGTTAAGCTATATCACTTATGGACTATAGTTAAACCTGTATATCTTCAGTCTGCGAGTAAGCACCTATCACCCGCTCCGCAAGGACTGTGTTGCTATGGCTTCACCGCCACGGCTGCCGAGAATGGTTTAGTCACATATTTTATTGCTTCTCAGTACCTCAATGTGATGTACTTTCTCTCGACTTCAGTTTCATAATTTCCCATTGAGTCCCATGTTAAAGAAACGTTAAAATGTGGTTGAAACCTGTTCTGCAAGTACAAGTAAATCTTTATGGCATGTAATGATCACTTTGATCATGCACTGTCTAAGTGCAGTTATCATGTAAATTATAGCTTACTGTACTTTCAGGAGCACTCAAAAGTTATCTTGACAAAATGAATTCGTGTAAGTTTTGTAGATGTGTCAGATATGTGTGTATACCAGTACATGAATATATAGCTGCAGTCACTAACTGCTAATTTTTGGAAACAAACATTGTTATTCCTGGGGTTCTTGAGTAGCTCAAGCATTAACCCCCACTCTTCTCCCAAATATGCCCCAAAATCTGATTTTTCCATTTCTTGAGAAAAGTTTTTTAGGGAATGACAATGCAACTTTTTAGCTCCCCTTGATACATGGGTATATCATTATTAATGGAAGAAATTGATTTACAGTTTACTAGAAATCTGAGAATAGCATGTCAACCCTATGGCCCATGGGGCCAGCCCCCCCCCCCTAGGTTGGGCCCAGAAAAAAACAAAAATTGGGCCCAAAAAATTTTTGGCCAAAAAAGGCCTTCAGGCACCACCAAAAAATGGGCCTTTTTTGGTCATTACTAGGCCTTATTTTTTAATTTCAGGCCAAATTTTGAAGAAAATGGGCCTCAAATTTTCAAAATTTGGGCCCACTTTTCGGTTTTAGGGGCCTCAAATTTTTTTTCGTGCAAGCGCGGAACTTTTTTTCTATGATCGACAATTTGGGCCCCCCCCCCCATTGTTTGTTCCTGGATCCGCCACTGCAACCTGTTCAAACTTGCTGAAGACAGTTATGGCTCTTTTGTCATAAAAGCTCAAATTTGGATTAGCACCCAGTTGAGAAAAGATCATGGTTAGATGACTGTGTCTTTAATTCAAGGAATTGAGACATTTTCACATTTATTTGTATTTCAGAGGGCTGTTACTATGATACCTGCCCATGACAACCCCTTGGCTGCCCTGGCATTTAGTTCTAGTGGGACTCGGATAGCAACTGCCTCAGAAAAGGTAAGGATATTTTATATAATACAGAATAACATAAACCAACACGAGGTTGTATCATCTTACTCGAGTCAGATATGGTATGTAGTTGTAAAAATCAAAAATATCAATATCCACAACAGCACAAAGTTAATTGTATTCATGGAAGAATTTCAAAGGGTTCTTGATGAAATATAGATTTTGTTTTCCCTGTAGGGGTCATGGGTCTAAGAACATGAAATAAGTTTTTTGTGGATACTGAACAATTTTTTTCTTTTTCAGGGAACAGTTATTCGTGTATTTTCTGTGCCCGATGGTCAAAAGATATTTGAATTTAGGAGAGGAGTGAAGAGGTGAGGTGGCTTGACACTAAAATTAAGAACATCTTTAACAGTTGTAAATAGATTATTCAAACACCTGATATGATAAACAGTTCATTAATTAATCCACACAGTTAAAAATAAACTTAAAATCCAAATAGAGTACAACTTGTTTAATCCAAACACCTCTTAGACAAGCCAAAAGTGTTCATATTTTCAGATGTTCACATTTCAAGGATTTTTTATGTGTGAGTTTGGGAAATAACAAACTGGGATTGAAAAGAAGTGTTCACATTTGGAGGTGTTCGGATTAGAGAGGCGTTCAGATACACAGGTTTCACTGAAGTAATAATTGGGGAAAAATATAATCTCAAGTAGAAACAGTGATATTTGTACTTACTTCCCATCATACAATTCATATTTTAGTTTCAGATGTGTCTAAATCAGCTCACTTGCATTTAGTCACTCATGCTTCCCATAATGCAATTCATAAGCAGATGTATGTTATGTTAGTTTCAGATGTGTCAAAATTAGCTCACTTGCATTTAGTCACTCATACTTCCCATAATGCAATTCATAAGCAAATGTATGTTTTGTTCATTTCAGATGTGTCAAAATCAGCTCACTTGCATTTAGTCACTCATACTTCCCATAATGCAATTCATAAGCAGACGTATGTTTTGTTTATTATTATGTCCCCACCACATAGTGTGGGGCCATATTGTCGGCCTATGCGTCCGTCTGTTTGTCTGTCTGTCTGTCTGTCTGTCTGTCTGTCTGTCTGTCTGTCTGTCTGTCTGTCCGTCTGTCCGTCTGTCCGTCTGTCCGTCTGTCCGTCCGTCCGTCCGTCCGTCCGTCCGTCCGTCCGTCCGTCCGTCCGTCCGTCCGTCCGTCCGTCCGTCCGTCCGTCCGTCCGTCCGTCCGTCCGTCCGTCCGTCCGTCCGTCCGTCCGTCCGTCCGTCCGTCCGTCCGTCCGTCCGTCCGTCCGTCCGTCCGTCCGTCCGTCCGTCCGTCCGTCCGTCCGTCCGTCCGTCCGTCCGTCCGTCCGTCCGTCCGTCCGTCCGTCCGTCCGTCCGTCCGTCCGTCCGTCCGTCCGTCCGTCCGTCCGTCCGTCCGTCCGTCCGTCCGTCCGTCCGTCCGTCCGTACGTACGTACGTACGTACGTACGTACGTACGTACGTACGTACGTACGTCCGGCAGTTTTATCCAAAACCGCTACAGATATCACCTTCAAATTTTCAGGGATAACTTATGAGTGCATACAGATGTGGATGAAAATTTTATTATGTCCCCACCACATAGTGTGGGGCCATATTGTCGGCCTAGGCGCGTCCATCTGTTTGTCTGTCTGTCTGTCTGTCTGTCCGTCCGTCCGTCCGTCCGTACGTCCGTACGTCCGGCAGTTTTCTCCAAAACTGCTACAGATATCACCTTCAAATTTTCAGGGATAACTTATGAGTGCATACAGATGTGGATGAAAATTTTTTAACTCGATACCTACTTCCTGTCGGCCATTTTGAAGTAAAATGCAAAAATCCTTGTCCGCAAACTTTAAGGAAAACGGCTTCACAGTTGCTTTTCAAACTTTAACATCTTGTTCAGCTCACTTCATTCTACATCTGATTAGGTTTTGGACCTGTTAGCTCAGTCATGGCAGCCATTTTTAATGTCTTAAGAAAAGTTAGCGTGCGATAATACTTTGTATCATATTGAATGGTGTTTTTGAGTTTTCATACTTTAACTATTTTGTAGCTTTATAAATACTTTCAGGTGTACTTTGTTGTAAAAGCCTATGTTATTGTTAATTGAAGTTATATGTGATTAATTTTGTAAAAAGAAATCAGCAAAAACTCATTATCACTTTTTTATTGTCGGCCATTTTGCATTTTTCGTCCTAAAATCTTGTTTGTAAAGTCTTGTCTACACATTTTCAGGTGAACCGTTTGGTAGATCAATTTTAAATTTTCAGGGATGATTCTTAGTACAAAAATCTAGATCTGATTAGTTTTTGGGCATTCTGGGTAAATGTCAAGGCGGCCATTTTGGATTTTCCGTCCTAAAATCTTGTCAGTAAAGTCTTGTCTACACGTTTTCAGGTGAACCGTTTGGTAGATCAATTTCAAATTTTCAGGGATGATTTCAAGTATGAAAATCTAGATCTGATTAGTTTTTTGGCATTCTGGGTAAATGTCAAGGCAGCCATTTTGGATTTTCCGTCCTAAAAACTTGTCAGTAAAGTCTTGTCTACGCGTTTTCAGGTGAACCGTTTGGTAGATCAATTTCAAATTTTCAGGGATGATTCTAAGTATTAAAATTTAGATCTGATTAGTTTTTTGGCATTTTGGGTAAATGCCAAGGCAGCCATTTTGGATTTTCCGTTCTAAAATCTTGTCAGTAAAGTCTTGTCTATGCGTTTTCAGGTGAACCGTTTGGTAGATCAATTTCAAATTTTCAGGGATGATTCTTAGTATGAAAATCTAGAACTGATTAGTTTTTTGACATTTTGGGTAAATTTCAAGGCAGCCATTTTGGATTTTCCATCCTTAAATCTTGTCTGTAAAGTCTTGTTTACCCGTTTTCTGGTTAACTGTTTGACGGATCAATTTCAAATCTGGGGTGGTTCATAGTATGAAAATCTAGAACTGACTAATTTTATGGCATTCTGGTTAAAATTTAAGGTGGCCATTCAAATCGTGTCGGTAAAGTCTTGTCTACTCATTTTCAGGATAACCATTTGACAGGATCACCCATTGGTGGGGACATTTTGTACACATTTGTGTTCTTGTTTCAGATGTGTCGAAATCAGCTCACTTGCATTTAGTCCAGACAGCACTTTTCTTTGTGCTAGTAGCAACACAGAAACTGTACATATATTCAAACTCGAATCACCAAAAGAAAGGTTGGTATCACTGTAAATTGGACTTAACTAAATATACAAAACCACTCTCAGTTGTCTTTCATTTAAAAGAAAATTGTAAGATAAAACCTGACTGGACAAACCAGCTCAAACTTTAAGCCAGGAAAAGTCAGGGGTATAAAATTATACATGTAATATCATGATTTCCTGATAGCATATATTCAATTTGAATATAGGCTAAAACAAAATAGCTCTTTCCAAGATTTAAAACCCCTATTTAAACTACAGTAAAACCTGCGAACAGGGAATGCTCTTGGGACTGGAAGAAAGTTTCCTTGTCCAGAGGTTTTCCCTATAGAGAGGGGCCGCACTTTCCACAAACTTGCCGAATAAGCATATTTGTATACATATGGGCATTGATTGATTGTACCAATGTTGACTCCATACTTGGTTGCTAGACCTTTTTATGACATCTTGGAAGATGTATGAAGGTCTCCCACCTCCCTCTATTTGCATTCTCCCTATGTTGATTTTAGCTGCTGCTGCTGGTATCTGATGATGTCTAGTTGATGTAATTATTGATAGATTTGGCTCAACATGACACATGTACTTATCTGTTATCTCCAAAAAACAATTGTGTCAGTCCCTTGATTATCACAACTGATTTAGTGAAGAATTAGTGTCATGATAATAAGTAACAAATAGATAAGTATTAGTTTTAAAATATATCAGGTTAATTAACAGTGGGTGGGATACTACATCCTGTAAACAATTGGCTTATCTTAATCTCAATCATATTAATCCAAGCTTTTTAGAATCGGATATTGGCTTAAGACTTTCACACCTCTGAAAAATAATGGAATATACAGTGTCACCAATATTCCATATTCCTTGTTCACAGGTGAATTTTCATAATTTGCCCCAAAATAGTGTTCCTTGTTCCCTGTTCACAGGTTTTCCCTACAGAGAGGGTCCGTTATCATGTAAGTCAATGGAAAATTATTCGGTTCTTTTGAAAAGCATTCCTTGTCCATAGGTTTTCCCTACAGAGAGGTATTCCATCGGACAGGTTTTACTGTACTTGTTATCTTAAGTACTTCCAGGCCTACAGAGGAACCCCAGAGCTGGATGGGATATTTCAACCAAGCGCTAAAATCTTCCGCAACCTACTTGCCTAGTGGGGTGTCAGATATGTTGAGTCAAGGACGAGCATTTGCGACTTGCCGATTGCCCTGTTCTGGACTGAAGAATGTAGCTGCCCTGTCTGTGTAAGTAAATTCACATATATCCCATAATGCAATGTTGTTAGCAGACAATGTTGTTTACAGGATACAGAAAGGTCTGTAAGCTGCCTCCAAGGCCTGCTAGTGCTATATTTACATACAGTGTGTACAATAATACATTGTTATTGCCTCCCAGGATGGCTATGTGTACATATGTCCCAAAATGCAACATTATAAGCAGACGTTTATTTTGTTACAGGATACAGAAAGTTTTACGTCTACTAGTTGCCTCTCAGGATGGCTATGTGTACATATGTCCCAAAATGCAACATTATAAGCAGATGTTTATTGTGTTAAGGATACAGAAAGTTTTACGGCTAGTAGTTGCCTCTCAGGATGGCTGTGTGTACATAATGAATGTCCCATAATGCAACATTATAAGCAGACGTTTATTTTGTTACAGGATACAGAAAGTTTTACGTCTACTGGTTGCCTCCCAGGATGGCTATGTGTTCATAATGAATGTCCCATAATGCAACATTATAAGCAGACGTTTATTTTGTTACAGGATACAGAAAGTTTTACGTCTACTAGTTGCCTCCCAGGATGGCTATGTGTACATATATAACATGGATCCAGGAGAGGGTGGCGAATGTACCTTACTTAGGCAACACAGGTAGCTCCTAAAACTTTTTAAGATAGTAGATATGTCTGTTAAATAAAAATTGATACAGGATACTAATGAAAACGAAATATTCCAACCATATTATTGTGATTATGAGCACAATGCATATCATATTCTCAGAAAAATAAATGTTCTCAAAATAAGAAAACATGAAAATATTCTATTATTATTATGTAAATAGACTAGATGGTTGCCAAGACAACACTCCAGTGACGGAAGCTTCCTCAAGTTTCCAAGACAAACCACTTACATCACCAATAGGGGGAGCTGCAGCTGCATCAGCTGGGACTACTTTCTCGGCAGCAGTTGGTAAACCAGAACCATCTAGTAGTCCGGACGATACGCCCCCAGGTAAGCGGGTTGAATTGCCGTTGCCCCTCACTCCATCTTGGGGGGCAGAGAGTTGGGCGAATGTGACACGTCGTGAAGGAGGCCCTCAGGAGGTACTAGCCTACCCCCAGGGCGATCATGCTGACCCCCCTGACTCAGTGGTGCTTGATAAAGGTGAGGTACGGCCCTCACTCCTCACTAACGCAAGGAGCTCACAACTCGTGGGTCTAACAAATGACCCCTGGGTGACACTTCTGGCTACAGTGCTGCCATCTATCAACCAAACACCACAACATCAAGTTTCAGTGCTCTATCAATTTTATTTGTCTCCTAAATTGGCCATGCTATTTTGTTGATATCAGACTCACTATAAATTACATATTTACATTTTTCTTTGCATGTTCCTCATTAAAGCAGGTGTTGTACTTATATTTCCCATAATGCATTACTTTTAGCAGACTATTTCCCATAATACAATATTATGAGCAGACAGACATGGAATAGATGTTGTGGTGTTGGTTGCAAGTGGTTCATTCCTCTCTACCCTAATTCATCTTTTGCATGTTTGATCAGTTTGCTTTTATTTTCATCAATAACAATACATTGAGTGTGATCTTCATTGTCAGGCTTTTAGATATTTCATTTTAGTTAGACATCTTATGCTTTCAAAGATACTGGAATATAAGAGGAATAAGTTACTAGCTCTTAATTGATTCATATTTTGCTTTATTATTTGTTTACTTTATTTGAGGTCATGATTAATCAAATACACAAGTTAGATTGCTTCTTTGATTGCCAAAAGGTTGCAGGGTTTATTCGAACGGTCTATTGTTTTATCAAAAAGTATGTTATGACAATCATGGTGACTATTTTTTTTATCCTTGATGATTGTGACCTTGCTTAAAATGGAAATAAAGTGGAACCAGCATAGAATACTGAGAATAGGCTAAAATTTAGGGGTAGCCAATGCTAGCCATGTATATTTTATTTTATTTTGCTCATACATTATTGTAGATTGATCAGACAAGCCAGTACTGGGTCACTTGTGGTAATATTTCATTCAATCTTTATGGGTCAGGGTATTTATTTAGGGAACTCTTCTTCATTTTTTTTTTCAATACTATTCCATACTATGGCTCTTAGAAATGCAGGCATGCGATATTTGACAAGATTATTATTATATCTTGGTTACCGCCATATTTGGCGAGCCCTGTGTTCTTTTGTGTGCACAGGTACACTGACATACAGGTACACACCACAGCCTTTTATACGAGTCGTGAACCACTCAGTCAAACACCCAGAATTACATAACGCACAAACAAATTTGTCTGAACCGGGAATCGAACCCGGGGACAAGCGATATTGGTAACCGTGACTCTACCACTTAGCCATAGCGGGATACATTTTAGAATTCTGAATACTAAATACCATAATTAGAGTGCAGTTGGAGATCTCGGAATTTAAGGATGCAGTACCAGGTCAGCGTAGAAAAAGTTCCAGACATTAGATTTTGCTCATATTTTTTACAATGTATCACTATGATGTTATCATCATCCAAGTGCAATATAAAGAGGATTGACCGTCCGGTAATTACAAAATAAAAAAATTAATTTACCCACCCAAAATGAATCTTTTTACTTTTTTGAGTTTTCAATAGAGCTGGCACCTTTCTAACCCTGGTTTTCGTATCCACTAATTGCGACTCAAGAACAAGTTTTCCCATAAAAGTGAAAGGGATAAAATATGCTTGATAAAATGTTTGCAATTTAATTCTTTTCTGGAAACACCATTATCGAAATAAACTATAATTTTTGAATAAGACTAAATGCGAAAATGACGTTCTTGGGAGCTAGCTTTCTCAAACCAGAAGTCAAACCTGTGCTAACAGACGTGAAAACCGACCCGGTACTGCATCCTTAACATTATTATGGCTTTTTGAACTGTGCCACTTTTTCATCTAATGAATCCCATGATTGTTCAGAAAGATTGTATTGGATCTAGAGCTGCATCTTTAAATAGCTTGCATGTAATTCAAGACTGCGAATTTAATTTGTGTGATTTTGAAGACTTTTAATGAACTTCGCTCATGGATGTACCCATGCCCTCATTACACTCTGAGCCTGTGTATGGTCGCTATTTGGTAGACTATTGGTTGGTGATGGAAAAATGGAAATTGATACTTACTTTAAATACTGTTCTTTGGTATTTTTCTGTCTTTCGGTAGTGTTACTTGCTCTGAATTCCATTAGTATAGTTCTGATATTACCTCACTTATCATCAAATATTTATTCACGCATTTTTATTTCTCTTACATTTTGGATATGTTGTAAGATGTGAAAGTCCCTCTTGATATTTTAGTGATCATCGTTTCTTTCATTTAATTTCAACAAATCAGGTTTTAATTATGATTTAACAATGATTGTTGTATATTTTTTTATTTGTATCTTGCAACTGGGATGAATTACTCTTCTAGTATCGTGGGCTTTCAAATCTCTTGAAACCCCATATTAATATGTTAATCCCGGCTTGCAACAACACTTTTTTGTGAATATTTTTATTAGTTTTCATAAAAACATGCCAAATTCATATATCTTTCAAAAAAAACTTTCAAACAGAAAAAAAATCTGAATAGTTTTATCACATACTTGTGGTTTTTGTGAAAATTTATCAATTTTTTCAAACCATCAATCATTACATTCATCATCAATAGTAGGAGTGGTGGCAATTACCTTAACCTTACTTACTCCCTTGAGAAATCATTGGGAGTAGTGGCAGTTACCTTAACTTAACTCCCTCCCTTGAAAAGCATTTAGGTGTGGCCATGTTTTACAATACAAAAGGAGAGGAATTATCATGAAATAATTATCAACAAGCTTTATCACTGTTCCATACCTGGATGACTCAAACTGCAGTTAGTATCATTCAAGATGGTGTCCAAAATTCTTTCATTTTGTTGAACCTCCGATTTCAGCTAAACGTAGTTGAATCTGGATTCCAAATGTTTCATCCAGGTGTCATCTGGGTGTGGAACAGTGTTTAAATACAAATTCAAACATCTATAGCTTAAAATATGTTATTTTTGTACAGTAAATCCTGCATTTAGAGGCCTCTAAAAATAATGGTGAACACATTTTGGTGCAGTTTCCTAGTGTCCCATTGACTCATATATTTTTCAGCTTCTAAACATTACTCAGTGTGGTCACATTGAGCCAAACAGCTCAGTTATAAGCTACTGTACTCCCATTAATATTTGTCTTTATTATTTTTCACGTTTTTGTGATTTTGAAATTTCACGACTTTTAATCTTTGGAGGTGATTGGTTCATTTTTATTGTACCATTTACTGAATGAATTTAAAGATACCCCCCCCTCCCTTTTATTAACCAGCACTGGACAACACTGAGTGAAATAAATTCCCAGGAATTTCAGGAATATTATAATTCGCGAATTAGAACTATTACAATTTTGCAGATATCGTATTTCGAGAATTTTCCAAAACTCACGAAAACCCCAAAATATTGTAGCATTTGAAAGTTACTGGGAGTAAAGTACAGATTTAGACAGGATTTATTGTACCATAAATACATTCAAAACTGTATTTAACTTCAAAAAAGTTGAATGAGGCCAAAAAACGTTACTTCCTGTTTGCATGCATTTGAATACAATTAAAGTTCAGTGTATTTATGTGTTTAGGTGATTGAAGGGATATACATTGTTATATCTTGTAAAGAAATAAATATATCTTAATAATTAAAAATTGAAAAAAACATTTTCAGTGTAGTGAGGGTCCAACATAAACCAATAACTAAAGTAGGCCTTAACTTTGTCTTCAAGGATTGTTATGAATTGATTTGAAATATTAATTTTAGTTGCAAAATAATTAATGTACTATCAATCAATTTGAGATTATTATTTAATTACAAAAAATGTTTTGGACACCCTGTGCTGTATGTGCAATCGGTTAGTTTTATGTATTTTCAGAATCTCAGTCCTTCCAGGAAATGACCCCGGGAGCGACTGGTGGGGACATTGCTGCACTCCGATTGGATGACGATAATGAATTTCCACCAATGACGCACAAGAATGAGTGAAAATTATGGGATGCAATATTAGAGAAATGACCAACTGAACTTACTGTACGATATTGTAACAAGTTGTGATATTGTATGTGTTCAAAACAAATCAAATATTGAAGTATTCAGCAAAAGCCAGAAAAATAGCAAAACGAAAAAAACTAAAAATCAACATATATTGCGTCAGCATTGTAGCATTGTTTTATTCAACAATTTTAATTCATGCAGAATATAGATAGAATTAACAGGAAAAGGGAAACTTAAAAGGAAAAGGGAAAATTAATAGGAAAGGGGATTTATGATTAAATGTGGATGTTTCAATTCCTACCTTTGGATTTAATACTTTGATGCTAAGAAACTAGATGCCCCTTCCTCGGCTGTGGGATATGTCAGTTTTGCACCATCTATTGTACAATTATTGTGGTACGCCATCTGGAGTTTCACTCGTGGTGCACAAGCTATTGGTCATTGTATTACATACCTAGCGAAGCATTTGTATGGAAGTCAATGGGAAAGTTAGCGAGCTATATCCACCGATATTGCCCGATTACCCCGATATAGCCCGCTTACCTCGTTTTGATATTAGATTTCTTTAATAACCATGATAATATCATGACGTCACGTCATTGATACAAAGTAACCATGGGAACAAAGGCATGTAATACATCAGTTATGTCACTATGACGTGAAATATGCCTTCGTTCTTGCCCAAATATAGAGCCTCCCAAGGTCGGCCTATATTGGGAGAACTCAGGCATATTTCACGTCATAGTGACATAACCTCTAAATATATGATGCCCATCTTGGGTCTCACTTATGGTGCATATCACTTGTGTTGCGCCATTAGAACTACAGCAGCGGTGGTGATTCATGAAGGTGAAATAATGCGAAAATAATCTGACGTTGTTATAGACGTATTGTTGTTACATTATAATTTCAAGCTATTATTGTTTATTATATATTTATGACAAAAATGCAGAACTTATATGATGGTCACATAATTATGCATTTTCCATGTTGTCAACTTTAACAAGGAATGTATTAAATATCAGCGGTTTTATTATAGAATATGAAAATATGCAAGAAAGCAAGTAAAAACAGGCAGAATTATTGAAAAATGTCAAAGTGAAGAAAAACAGCTAGTAGAATTATTGAAAATCATCATCTGAACGTTTTTAAAAACTGATCATCGGATAATTTTAGAACTGAACAAAATATGACTACAAATGAAACCCTTGACCATGGTGATGTGGTAGCTAACTTTAAGATTATATAATCAATGATCTCAACACTATGTTATCATTTATTCGTTTTGTGTCAAGTTCATGGTATGGTCCCCCATTACTAAAATATAGCCCTATTTAGGGACACAGTAACTGTATTAATGTAATATGACTTAATTTGGGGAGAGGAGGTAAAATTATCGATTTTAAATTTGATATACTAGTGTAGTATCTTAGAAATGTTCTGTAATAGTAACTTTGTGAACAATTTGAAATTCAAAAATTAGTAGATGAATTCTTGAAATCCATATAAACACTAAAACCTGTATTTTAAGTGGTAGTTATATTATACTTTTTATTAAGGATTAGAAATAATTTTAAAAATAAAAAAAAAGTGGAAAATTTTTTTGAGCTTCCAGTGTTTTACAGTGTTTCACATATATATTCAGTATGTAGGGAACCAATTTAAATTCTCATGGGCCAGTAGGTACCGAAGAGTGTTCAAATAGGCTAAAAACTGTTTTTATTCACAAATTTTACTGTACATTGATTCCGGCTGTTAACTTAAGTACATGCAACTGATTTAGAAAAAATAAGATGCATAAAATTGGTCAAATTAGAAAAGCATTATGGCTTTTATATTTAAATAATCAAAATTGTTTTCTGCATTCTATCAAAAAGCTCACATTGTCTTATAACAATCATAGGGTTATGTATTGTATCACTATTTATGTACAATGTACAGGGATATTGAATATTTATTGTTGTAATATATAAAAATGTGAAAAGTTTTGTTGAAAAATTAATGTTATGGAATAAGGAATAAGGAATGATGATAATATTATGAAAATTTAATTTTGATCTAGTGATGCTGAACAAAGTGTGGAAATAGAATTATGTTGCTCTATAATGTACATTTTCAACATATGTATATGTATAATAGAATTAGATTTGTTAATATCAAGCCTATCTGCTTATGAATGTAAAATACAATATTAAATTATAAATATATTATGTATTATAGCTCAAAGGCTGTTTTTGTTGTTTTATTTTATTCAAGGGGAATAAATAAGAAAATTGAGCACACTCCTTACTGTCAAGTTTTTGGCTTTTATATCGTGTCAGTTGTATTTTTAAGTACAGGGTGTCCAAAAAAACAGGACCGTAAGAAAGTTGAATAATTCGGTCAATTTTGCCTTGAAATTTTGAAATTAATTTGTTTATTCAATGTGAATTTTGTTCTGAAAGTTTGATGATAGTCTTTCTATTGTGTCAAAAAATCCAGTACCTTACAAAACATGCTCAAAGTGGGCACTTCTCTCTATGCACAAATGAATCCTGTGAACAAAGTTGTTCATGACCCTGACCTATACACATTAATGTGTATGGTACAAATTGGGGTAGTTATTGCCCTCTTAAGATTGTTAAGGGGCCTGTCAGTATACACATTGGCTTTGAGAAATCCTCAAAGATAAAAATCTGGGGGATTTAAATCTGGCGAATGAGCTGCCCATATCTTTTGTGTTCTGCATCTGATGAGTTGACCAACAAAGCGTTATTAAACCATTTCAGCATATCATTTGCAGGGTTGGGGTACGTATTGGCTTGTTGAAACCTTAGATGCCCCTTCTGGTGCTTAGTGACCTCCAAAACTTGAGAAGAGACGTGAGAAGTTGAATATAATTGTCTTAGTTTATGGCAATAGCACGTCCACAGTCATCTTCGAACCAAAAGGACTGATGATTCCATGTTTTCTCATTGCCACCTTGGCCGTGCATTGTTCAGAATGAGATGGATGCTGTATCACTTCATCAGGAGAAAGTTAGCCCCAGTAGCAATTGTTCTTGGAATAAACTTGTCCATACAAAAAGAATTGTGTGTAGGAGGATCATCAACAACTTTGTTCACCGGATTGAATATCCTAGATGCGAGTAGAACTAATCTTGATTTACGTCATTAAAAATTCACAATTCAAAAGAGTTGAAAAGAGTTTATCAACTTTGGAAATTTAATTTTCATTGAAAATGTGACTTCTAGGTCGGGGAGATTCCCCATAGACTCCATGTAAAACTACAAAAAGTGGAATATCTTTTCTTGTGTTGGGCAGATAATATTTTCTTTTACTGGACATATTTTAATTTGTATAACTATCACATACATTAGGGCAATATGAAAAGTGAACCACTAAAACTGATGCATATTCAAGTTTAAAGGAATTTTGTAATACCCTGCCATGTTATTTCCCCCGAATCAGCCACCTGGTGGCGAAACTGGTAACTACCTACTCGCATCTGAGTAATTGTGCATGGAGAGGAGAGGTGCACATTTGGGGCATGTTTTGGAAGAAGCTGACTCAATTGACTCAATCAAACTAAATTCAAAATAAACTAAATAATTCTGAAACATCAAGGCAAAATATGCAAAATTGACCAAGTTATTCAACTTTCTTACGGTCCTGTTTTTTGGACACCATGTAATTGATGACCAATCGCAAAGCAGTAAGCCTTGGAGTTTAGTTACAGAGTATATCATGTTGACTGTAGGTAAATCACAATCAATACACGTAGTTCCAAGTAAAAAATGCCCTCAATGAATTTTGGATTCATTCTGGAAATACACCTTAAACAATATGAAATGGTTTCAAAATTCTGGATACTGATATTTAGAGGATTTGAAACTAGATAGAGAATCAGGCCAATAAGGTCATGGGGTTTGCAATGGGTAAATTTGTTCAGCTGAATTTGAAATCATTTACTTGAAAGAAAATTTCATTTAGCATGGGATCCATATTGGTACCTGCATATGTTGACCGAGATTATTGCTACGAGTGTCCTGAGAATATCCACTGGACTGAATCAATAGTGCAGACTCCATACCCAGCCCCTGATCACCAGTTACAAATACCTTCTGGACATCATAACAGCCATAAGTTACTACTAGGATAAATCAAAGTACACATATTCGCTTTGTGGATATTTTGGGTTTGGGTACAATTTCTCATGAAGTATCCCCTTCAATTTAAAACAAAAAAGGCCAAAAAGTTATCGACAGGGCCGAAACATAAATTCCTGGAACACATTCAATTTTTATGTGCAAAGGATTATGGGTGTTGGAGAGAATGAATTCATTCACCCATGAATCTAATCATCACTATAATTTTCAGAGAATTCTCATGAGTTTATCAAGCTGGAAACTCCGAGCAGATTGTGATTATTAGTTATGATGGGCCCTGTGTAGATAGTGTGAGGAATTACTAATTATTAATTTTACATACAGTAGCAACATATAAATAACATCAAGAAATCCTTAAAATTCATTATAATTTATTCCACATAAATATACTAACAAATTGACAAAATCAGTTTAACAATAATTAAGACAATTATCCTGATCCATTGATCTAATTATTAAACAAATTTTGAATTTAACAATTGGTCAGATTTCTTCCATTAATAAATATACATATTACAGGAAAAGTAATTGATCTCATCATCAATTCGATGAATCAATTAATTTTCACAACTTTTGTCCAGGTAATGATACTTTTCAATTTGGCAGATTCCCTTACAATCATTTTGTGTGTCAGTCACTTTTGGCAAATGTTCATTGCATTACTGGAAAACTTGTCATTTTCTAATTGGTCAAACCAAGGTCACATGACATAAAAGATGGTCCAGTATTCACCTCCTGTGCACATTTTACACAAAAGGAAATCCCATACATCAATTCCCTCCTTGTCTCTTGTGCCTTGTGCTTCTGTTGCACTTATTTACTCAAAGCATTTATGCACTCACAGTATTCTTTACATCCTCAATATAGTGCATATAGTTCATTGTCCAAACATGAAAAAACAGGAAGAGGTCAGGGCAAAATTGTATGTTTGTTTCATGAAAGTTACTTTTCAGGACCTAGCCTCTATTAAAGTAACTTGTTTTGTAAACATTGCATCAATCAGCTAGGATTTCCAAAAGGAAAACACACACACATGTGAAGACTTGTGGCTCACTGAAATAGTCCTGGATTTGCACTTTAAAACTGATCAAACCACCACAAATGATATAAAGGGCAGTTCAATATATTGGACTGGAATATATCTATTTGGGTAGGCTACACATGTCGCATGAAGATTTACTTGAAGGGTTCATGAAAGTGCAGTGTTTACAGCTCCATGTAGCCTCATTTCCATTTCCGCCAATAGGTGGCAGTGGTTGAGCATTAGGACCGACATAGGAAGTCTCTCGAGAAACACCTGGGGATGACGCTGAAAATATAAAGATTTTTATTAATCTATTCTTCAAATAATGAAACAAATATATTGTAAACGGAACTTTTACACAACATCTACAATTTTCTCTTCATCCCATTCGTAGGAATGAACAAAGATGTTTGAACTTGATGATACAAATAAAAAAATTGTTGACCTCATGCTCAAGATATGTCAAACAAGGCATTATCATCCAAAATATTACCACCTGCCATTTTTACAAATACCAAACACCATCCACAAAAAAGTTGGAGACTAGTAAAATGTCACCACAACAACAAACTGGCCCGAAAAATGAAAATACCTGCATGCCTCGGATCATCCCATTTTATAAAAAATGTAAAATAAATTAGCTATCTGCTATGTACTCACAATGTACTTGAATGAGTTGTTCAACTGTTGCCCATTCCTCTGACTTTGACCAATGGTGGGCCAGTCCTTCATCTTTGGTTCTTACAGCTTCCAATAATGTTTCCATGTTACCCTGTACAACAAAAAACAAACATGGTTTACAAACATCTGCTATCCTGTAATAAAACCTGACATTCAAACTTGTTATGTCATCTGTATCTCATATTTTATGCCTAAAAGTAATAGTCTAATATACAATTTCCTGCCATTTTCTCCCCAACACAGAATTCAATGGATCTTTCCAATAAATCCTGCCCTCTTCTGTAAAGCTAGGACACTAGATTATATTTGTTAGATCTATGTCATTGGCTATTTTGAAAAATACATTGTAAGCATTGCGTTTTTAAAAGCAGAATTACGGGACAGTGTGTTTGGAAAGGGACTATCCCGTGGCTCAAGTGCTACAAAGTGCTACTTCGGGATAAAGATGATTCTAAATGTGACTAATTCGAGAGCCCTATAAAATTACATGACAAAATATATAGAGATTAGCTACCTACAACCTAAGACACGAATGAAGTTACCAAAAACTGGTTCCATTATTGCAGCAACAAATTCATGGTATTTCAAAAATGTCTCTTATGTGCAGAATTTAGTGCAAAATAAATTGATGGCACTTGAACATACCTTAACAGGTAACATATCATCTGTGGCTAGGTATAGGAGAAGGTGGAAGTTTGATACTGCCTCTAGAAATTTGTCTCGCTCGTAATGTGCCATGTACTCACAGAATGAATTAAAGTCCTGCAAAATGTAATCATTTTGTGTTAATATGACTGTACATGAAGCCAGTCTTAATTTTGCCAAATTACTAGTAGTAAATACAAGAAATATACATGTACAATGTTGAAGTGAAAGCATGATAACAGGATCGCAAAATATGCAAAATGGCACCAATCATCATCCACAAAAAGTAGGAGATGATAACACTACTTGCGCTGGTGACATACAATCTTACAATTTTCATCTAAGACTTATACTAAACTTTATGGGAGACCTAATTGGGAGGCAAGTCTTGGTATTTGGAATTTAACCAAGGAGCTGCCCCACCAAAATTTTGATGGGTAACATAATTAGTAATAATAAAAAAAATGATACCTGTATCTCTCCTAGTTCAGCCCTATTCTCCACAGGAAAGGGTGTGGGTGAGTTGGCACCATTGAATGTGTACTGGGGCTCCACAGGGAATGCCGCAGGGAGATCTATTAAGAGGTATTCAACAGGTAAAGGCCTTGCCAACTGGGTCACCTCATTCCCATATTTGTCTTTGTACTGAAAGTAAACAAATCATGTTATAAAGTAAATGGCACCATTGAATGTGTACTGGGGCTCCACCGGGAATGCCGCAGGGAGATCTATTAAGAGGTATTCAACAGGTAAAGGCCTTGCCAACTGGGTCACCTCATTCCCATATTTGTCTTTGTACTGAAAGTAAACAAATCATGTTATAAAGTAAATGGCACCATTGAATGTGTACTGGGGCTCCACAGGGAATGCCGCAGGGAGATCTATTAAGAGGTATTCAACAGGTAAAGGCCTTGCCAACTGGGTCACCTCATTCCCATATTTGTCTTTGTACTGAAAGTAAACAAATCATGTTATAAAGTAAATGGCACCATTGAATGTGTACTGGGGCTCCACAGGGAATGCCGCAGGGAGATCTATTAAGAGGTATTCAACAGGTAAAGGCCTTGCCAACTGGGTCACCTCATTCCCATATTTGTCTTTGTACTGAAAGTAAACAAATCATGTTATAAAGTAAATGGCACCATTGAATGTGTACTGGGGCTCCACAGGGAATGCCGCAGGGAGATCTATCAGGAGGTATTTAACAGGTAAAGGCCTTGCCAACTGGGTCACCTCATTCCCATATTTGTCTTTGTACTGAAAGTAAACAAATCATGTTATAAAGTAAATGGCACCATTGAATGTGTACTGGGGCTCCACAGGGAATGCCGCAGGGAGATCTATCAGGAGGTATTCAACAGGTAAAGGCCTTGCCAACTGGGTCACCTCATTCCCATATTTGTCTTTGTACTGAAAGCAAAGTATATGGGATCATAATGCTATAAAGTAAATGGCACCATTGAATGTGTACTGGGGCTCCACAGGGAATGCCGCAGGGAGATCTATTAAGAGGTATTCAACAGGTAAAGGCCTTGCCAACTGAGTCACCTCATTCCCATATTTGTCTTTGTACTGAAAGCAAAGTATATGGGATCATAATGCTATAAAGTAAATGGCACCATTGAATGTGTACTGGGGCTCCACAGGGAATGCCGCAGGGAGATCTATTAAGAGGTATTCAACAGGTAAAGGCCTTGCCAACTGAGTCACCTCATTCCCATATTTGTCTTTGTACTGAAAGTAAACAAATCATGTTATAAAGTAAATGGCACCATTGAATGTGTACTGGGGCTCCACAGGGAATGCCGCAGGGAGATCTATCAGGAGGTATTCAACAGGTAAAGGCCTTGCCAACTGGGTCACCTCATTCCCATATTTGTCTTTGTACTGAAAGCAAAGTATATGGGATCATAATGCTATAAAGTAAATGGCACCATTGAATGTGTACTGGGGCTCCACAGGGAATGCCGCAGGGAGATCTATTAAGAGGTATTCAACAGGTAAAGGCCTTGCCAACTGAGTCACCTCATTCCCATATTTGTCTTTGTACTGAAAGCAAAGTATATGGGATCATAATGCTATAAAGTAAATGGCACCATTGAATGTGTACTGGGGCTCCACAGGGAATGCCGCAGGGAGATCTATCAGGAGGTATTCAACAGGTAAAGGCCTTGCCAACTGGGTCACCTCATTCCCATATTTGTCTTTGTACTGAAAGTAACGAATATGGGATGATAATAGCGAAGTTAAGTTACACATTTTAAGAGAACCTGTATGTGACCATATAATATATTGACCCCGGGGATTACTGTCCAGCTCTCAATACAATTATTTTCTGTATAATATTATACGGTACTCAATCAGCCAAGTACATAGTACAAATGGGAGAACTAATCCATAGAGAACCCTCCTTATTCTACACTTTCACGTACAAGTTTTTAAAAAAACTTTAAAAATCTTGACTTCCCTAATGTAAAGTAAATAGGTCACATGTCATGATAAAGCAGTGGCGTAGCGTCGTTTACGCAAAGTACGCAAATGCGTCCACTGGAACAATCCAATGTTTATCTGAATATTTGGAAATTCTAAATTTCTCAAGTTTTAATAAGCAAAGCCATTGTTCAACCTTATCATTTCGTATCTTTGAACAGGGTTCAACCATAGAAATTAGGTGTTTATTTTAGTCCCGACATGTCATTAATGATTCTTTCATAATTTCGTGAATACTCTTATGTAATCCATATGACCTCCCCGTATTAAGTACACAATGGCTGCTCATGTGCCGAATCCAGCTCCAGTTTTGGCGTAAGTTTTGAATTTAATGATTAGGGATAGTTAATCAATTACGCTAATATCTATATACTATAATAATATTCAAGCAAGATTTGGCTGTACCTTTCATCCATAAATCTTATCGGAAGACATTGAATAAGAGTAATCAACAGTGCTGTCTGCTGCAGACATCTTTTTGTTCAGTGTAAATTATTCAGGTAAGATTTTTACAACGATAATAGATTTTTTAAATGTTCAAAATTATTTTTGTGTAGAAATGGACCAGATTATGATGATCTACGTGGAGACGATAATGAGTACTTATGAGTAAATTTCAAGTGGAAATGAATGCGTATCGGGTAAACCCCCCCCATCCCAATTTTGGAATTTTGCGTCCCCTAGTAAAATTGCCACGCTACGCCACTGTAAAGTAAAGTTAATAGGTCACGAGTCTTTAAAATGTCTTTACAATAAACTCTAAAATATTTGTGTAATACTTAATGCTGGGGTTTTTTCCTTTAAAATATCAATGTACCTTGTAGAAAACATCGGGGACATACTGCTCGTTTGAAGATTCTTTAATGTAACCTAATTCAGGGGCATCTCGTGTGGGGATTAAGCACTCGTCGTTCACCAGAGCCATGCACTGATTGGATACCTGGTAGCCCTCAAAATGGATCTGATTGGTCGAGTCACCTAGAATATTAAACAGACGATACTTTTTTACTTTTAATTTCAGGGGGTAGACTTTTTTACTTTAAACTGCAGGGGGTAATTTGGCTGATTAAAATATTTGTCAACGTTTTCTGATAAAAATTGATTTAATGTGCAAAAAAGTTGCATTTTCAATTCCAGTATGGAGTATTACCTGTCGCTACAACTGTAACAAACTTGGAGCCGAAATGTCCGTCTGGAGATAATCTACAGGCATTTGGGTATTTATTCTGGAAATCTGCCGCCATTATACATTCTTCTGCACTCAGGAAATGAGAGTTCTGAAAAATATAATATTTTAATTTTTTTTAATTTAGTTTTAGAAGTTGTACATTAAGAAAAGCTAACTGAAGCATACTTATCAGGTTATGCACTGATCAACTAAACTAAGACCCATTCCCTTTAAATATTACTACATTATTCTGTAGTCGTGGTAAGCCATATATTGTATAAAGGTATCAATAAAAATATGTCCAATGGGTACAGCAGACCTGTTCATTTCAAATTAATCCCTCAAATGATTTTCTATACCCATAAGACAAGAATTCAGGACACAAACTCACTCACCCCACCTTGTAAATATTATCACAATATAGCATCCGAGATCTGGATAAAAAAGAGAACTTACGATGTTTCCTCTGAAGTGTTTCACTGTCCCTTTCTTAAGATCCTCAGCTACTAAGTCTGTGAATATCCAGCCAAGCCTCCTTAGCCCTAGCTTAGCAGCTAACTGGTCCACTACTTGTTCTTGGGGGTCAGGAAGGAGTTCAACACTAGATTTACTACACACCTACAAACGACAAACATGGAAAGACTTATTATATTGCTAATAGCAGCTAACTGGTCCACTACTTGTTCTTGGGGGTCAGGAAGGAGTTCAACACTAGATTTACTACACACCTACAAAGCACAAACACAGAAAGACTTATTATATTGCTAATAGCAGCTAACTGGTCCACTACTTGTTCTTGGGGGTCAGGAAGGAGTTCAACACTAGATTTACTACACACCTACAAAGCACAAACACAGAAAGACTTATTATATTGCTAATAGCAGCTAACTGGTCCACTACTTGTTCTTGGGGGTCAGGAAGGAGTTCAACACTAGATTTACTACACACCTACAAAGCACAAACACAGAAAGACATATTATATTGCTAATAGCAGCTTACTGGTCCACTACTTGTTCTTGGGGGTCTACAAAGCACAAACACAGAAAGACTTTCTTTCTTTTAAGAGACAAAATCGCCAGTACAGATTTAAATTAATCTGAGAATAATTTCATCTTTATCTTAAATATGTCTTGCCTATTTTCATACACTGGCTCAATTTCTAAAATAAAGTTAGATGTCACATAGTAATCAAATAATTTCAGGCTGTTTAACACCTAATATGATAATACATGTAAGTTAAAATACAGCATTGGACACATCAAATATATAAAAGTTGGTACAGCCCCCGTGCACTTTAAAAACTATTCTCAGGTATTTGATACACTTGAAGGTTGTCGGCTTAAGGTTATGTTTTATTTATTGATACAATGATAATACAATGTTCGACAATGGGCCTAGGCCATTGGCATTTGTGGCCCATGTCGATTTTTCACATATATGTTTTAATACAATAGAGTTAGAATTCGAAAGCACATAATTATAGTGATCAAATAATTTCAGCCTGTTTAACTCGATAATACATGTAAGTTAAAATACATCATTACACACACCCTGTAAACACAATTCTTTACCACCACTCACATAATGACTGAGTGAAAGAGATAGAATCAAAATACTTAAGATCAAAACCTTTAGTTCAAATTATATTATGCAATGTCGATCAAATTATCATCCCCTGGAAAAATAAACTTGACGACTTAAATAAAGACATTGTTGTGTTAAAAAAATTGTTGAACTAAATAAAACAAATTCTACCTGTGGAGGTTCGTAAATAGCTGCTACAGTTGCTTTGATACCTAAAGGGGCCTCTTTATGGTGTTCGTAACGTCCAAACATGAAACCTATACGCTGACTTCCTGTCCGACGCCAATAATTCAAGAATCGTTCCATAATAGCAGGATTCTCAAACATTGTATAATCTATGTGTCTATATGTCTAAAATAAAATTTAAATTCAATTTTCCCCAGCAGACCAATATTATTTTTAAAATATCCCCTCTACTTGTTGTCAGTTTTGCAAATTAGATATTATTAACAAGCATTATTTGAATAATGTAGAAGGTGTTAGAAGCTCTTTAACACAACAGTGACAAAAAGACTTATTAAAATTGTTTTCTTACTTTATCTTTACATATCGTTGAAATACAGTGCATTGTATATATGTGTATTGGATCTTTACTGCTTTTGCCAAAATGATCATCCCATATTAAATATTTTGATATGCAATTTTGACAAAAATGAATAAACATATACTAATATATTACTAAAATCAATTACCTGTCTATTAAGTGTGACTGCGTTAGGCTGACATTTCGAACAGATGCCTTTGGGCCAAGGAGGATGCTTTGTACAGCCTTGTTTTATTTTACAGCTTATATTCTCTAACATTGCAAATTTCCCCCTAAAACAAAATATGAATTGATTAGTACTGCAAAATAAAGGGGCTGAATAATAAAGGAACCATAAAAACTAGTATTGTACGATACGAGGCAGGATCAAGAGGCCAAAAAGGTAAGGCACTGATATATATTGGAAGTATTGGGGTATATGAAAACGCTGGGTAGGATTGTATATGAGAATGAGAAGTACTGCACTGGTGTATAAGTACTGAGGTACATGAGAAGTACTGGGGTACATGAGAAGTGTGGTGTATATGATAAGTACTATGGTTGAGAAGTACTGGGATATAGGAAAAGTACCAGGTATAATATGAAAAGAACTTACTTATCTGCGCCTCCACATAATTTCCTAATATAGGAATGGAAGGACAGAAACTTGATGGGAGGGTCAGCACTGTTGAGATACTGTTCATCATAGGGCTACAAATAGAAATATCAATGTATTATTTTTACCTCATGAATACTTTTAACATAACATTGCAGGAGAAGATGGGAGGTAGAACATGATATACTAGAATAGGCAATTTGGAAATAATAACTTTTCCATGTTACATTGTGCATAAAACTCTCACAAAGAGTATTTCACCTATTAGTAAATGATCATCCTTATTACAAAAGAATGTATACAATAGACAGTCAAATTAGTCCACAAGGACAATTCAGAACAATTTTCAGATCATTTCAGAGCATTATATCTTTTCTCTTGGCTCTGTACAAGAATGAATTGTTCAAATTGAGCATAATAAACATACTCTTACTCTAGAATTAATCCTTAAAAAGCCTTACCTCAAGTGGAACACAGTGTAAACATTTCCCTTGGGCACCATGGTGGCAACTAAAATGTAAATCAACATCATGTTTAAACCACTGTCATGGTGACATACTCCCCAGCATTTAAACAACTTGGTGCAGACAGTACTACTGGCCGACCAAATTAATATCGTAAAATTAAGTTTCGACCAATCATTGAGCTTTACTTACAGCTGTTCATTCTTCTCTCTTTGTATCCTTCCATCCATTTTATCAAGTATGACATCTATTTCATCTTCTATCACTATGGGGATGACTGGTTTTGGTTTGTTTGTTGTCTCCGTTGTCATGGGAACTGCTGATGAGTCACCAACGTCCATTGCACTGTCAGGCTCATCTTCAGGTACTTTAACACTGGCTGAGAGGATCAGGTATAACATGTCTCCATGCCTGAAGGAGAAACAAATAGAACATATGTAACAAAATGGCTAAAAAACAACAAAAAAAATTATACACAATACTGCCTGACTATAACAGATGATTTTGTATGTGAGTTGTAGGTGTTTCATTGCACAAGGTTATTGCATAAAGCTTTTAATGAGGAAGGTAGTCTAAAGTTTAAGTATAGCATACAAATTAATTAACCATTGAGTCCTTTTCACACATGGCAATTTTAACAAGAAAGAAATCTTCCTAATCACACTTTGCAAGAGTTTTGACACCCTGCCAATATCATCAGTACAATGTAAAACTTAGATATAAAAAATAATCACCCAGTTGACTTTAATTTTTTAAAATATTGATTGTTTTCTTTAATGTATGTTTTCAGGAGATGTCACAATTACCCAGATGCGAGTATGTAGTTACCATTATCACTGCCAGGTGATTAATTCAGGATAGATAACAGGGCAGGGTATTAAAAAGTTCCCTAACACTTGAATATTCATCAGTTTTAGTGGTTCAATTTTCATATTACCCTTATATTATATATCTAATAGTTATACAAATTAAGATATGTCCGGTAAAAGAAAATATTATCTGACCAATATAAGAAAAGATATTTCACTTTTTGTGATTTTGTTACATGGTTTCAAATATGACATCACTTTGACTGAATTTTGATTTTTAATGATGTAAACTCAAGATTATTTGTACTCACATCTATTAAATATATTTTAAATGTTCAGGAGTTGTCTACAACACCATAGTTATATTTTGTTTAGATATGTTAATCCAGTAAAACCTGTCTAGGTGGAACACCTTTGGTACCTCTAAAAGGTGTTCCCCTTGGGAGGTGTTCCACTTTAATAGAGGTGAGTAATTTGATCTTGGGACTCTAAGTATTTTTCTAACAGAGGTGTTCCACTTCTTTCGAGCCATTTAAATACGATAAAGGCATTTTGTTTATCTTGAAAATACACCATTAGCAAAACCACTGAGTTTATTCTGAACAGGATTGACACATATCCTAACTCAGGCGAAAATTTGTCCGACTTTGTCTGACTAAGATCACCAGCTTTAATAATACAGGGTGAGCCAAAAAAGGTAACCCATAAAAGTCATCCAGTCATCAGTCATCCAGCATGAGTTTAAAATCATATTTGGCACAATTGAACCTTGTTCAATGTTTTTTCATTCTACCAAGTTTCATTGGTCTACCTCGAATGAGCACGATTATATGGTTATTATACAAAACATCCTAAAAATGCTGGTCTCATCTCTGTAGGCCAATTTGAACATACCAGGTGACTAGATGCCCACAAATATCATGTGTAATGGCTCTAATCATCCTTCTTATCTCTTGTTTCAACTCTCTGATGCTTTTACAAGGGAGTTTCAACAAACCAATCAAATAACAGAATATAGTATGCACACTCATCAAATAGCTAGTATAGATGTGTGATTGTTTGCCCAAAAATAGTCATCTTTCTGAGAGTGGGGTAATGTTCCAGGCCTTTGGTTTGTTGGCCTTTCAGAAAAGGAGTAGTAACTGGCTGAGTGTTTGTTTTTTGAAGAAAGGGGGATTCAAGGCTAATGGGAGTTTACATGAGGCCCACAAACACCTTCTCACATGACCATGCATCTAGAGTTGTAAATGTGGACAATACCTTTGAAATGGCTCCAAAGATAAAAGTTTGGGGATTCATTCCGCATTCGGCGCATGGTTTTTAAAATGGCAATAAAATCATGGCCATATAAAGGAGACCACTGAAACTTAGTAGAATGAAAGAACATTCAAATCCATGTGCGAAGAGGAAGTTATTAACATTTGTTTTGGTTACCTTTTTTGGCTCACCCTGTATATTATTTGTTTTATAAGTAACAAAACGGGTTTATGTTCTGTATAAACATTTATTTTGAAAAAAATTGAAGTCACAATATTTTTAAGCATCATGTGATGAAAAGCAACTTTTCTCAGCACATTCCAATCCTTGCTTTCTGCACTATTCATAGGGCCATGTCTGCCAAAGCCAGACTAATGTTTTTCGACATACACATATCCAGGACATGGAACATACAATGTACCAGTGGCATATGTTGCTTTTGTCAATGTACATTTCTGGTTTCCACTGTGGTAGTTGACAGATTTACACCCAGATGTAAACAAACAAATCAAGAAGCAATAATTCTTTGATCCAATGTTGGAATGCGTGGCTATAAAATTTTTTAGTGTAACTTTTATGCAAGCGTTTGGAATATCGAGTCGGCTGCCTAAAAAAGTATAAAGAAAAATTAATAAGATTGTTATATGACCTAAAATTACCTTATTAATTAATACATTTAGTGAACCATTTTTCAGTTATAATTATATCAGTGTTCAAAACACAAGCAAACTGTAAATACATATGCACTTCCAAAAACAAAGTCTAAACAATTTTCTCACAAAGACAATAAATTGTATTATTGTATGATAAAGGTTGGAATATGGGACTGTTTGAAACCATCCGAGCCAAATACAAGCCTCGGTGTAAATATCCAAGTTAACTATCCAGACTTACCAAGTGTATATCTTTGCCAATATTCCCAGCCCTGATAAGGACAAGGGACCTTAAAGTATGCATATGCAGTACTGTTGGAATAATCCTCGGATAACTGACATTTCTTACTACTTGCATGGTACTCAAAAGAGTTGCATATGAATCCAACTGCCGTGTTGCATAAATGCATACATAACCAGATATTGTCTACATTGGTATGCACTTGATTGTTGTGTCCAATAATACAACCATTGGATAGCTTTAGCCATTTAACCTTTTCATCACATACTAGAAGATACACATGTATATTCTTAATAAAAGGTTCCCTAATAGCTTTGTATCTTTATATCTACATTTCTAGCAAGAGGAGGGAAAACCCCATGATTCAATTGATGACATACGATTTCCTCCTTCGCGCACCTCCTTTCCCAGAAGTACTTACCCTCCATCTTGGTTTTCAAAGTTTTCAAATTGACCTAGTTTTAAACCAATCAACGATCGACTCGTTAAACCAATCAGCGACGATGTCATCTCAATACAGATTTACATTATAAGGGTATGTCATCTTTGAACCCTGGGGTTTCTCCCCCTCTTATTTCTAGCTTTATTAATGTCGACTCACAAATTTCTTTGCTATTGGCTAACAATTATGTGGCTAATAGTTTTTTTATTAGCCTTATTAGCCATTGTTGCTAATATCTCTTTCCTTTAGTCCTTAACTCGACACTTAAAGTTGATTTTAAAAAGACATTTGAATAATATGTTTGTCATGGCTAGCATTTAAAGTTATGTATTTCATGTAAATTGGCAAGCTGCGATTTTTTTCAGACCAAAAAAAATTGCACTGCACCCGACTGAAAAATCCTGGGGAGATCACTATAAATTGTTTCAATTTTAAAATATTTTAACCTCATATCATTCCTTGTCATGTCTATTTTCTAAAAATCTCAAAGTGAATACTTTATTTGAGGAGATTATATAAACATATATTGTACAGTTACCAATGAATGAATTGAAATACTTGTTAGATCAAGAAATTAAGTGACTTTTGCCAAATGTTTCCATATATTCTGGCCACATCAACATATGTACTGCCATCTATTTATTCATATAGAAAATAGACTATTTTGCAAGTTGAAAATAACACTGTTTTACATATTGGTACTTATTATTTTATAATGAAATGTAATTCATTAATAAATTAAAGATGCTCACTGCAAGTTGCTGCTAGTATCACCAATACAATGAAAGCTAAAATCAAAATAATTGTGAAGTAATTAAATATGTTTTGATCATTTCTTATTTTCCAAAGAATTGTAAAATGTGAAGTAAATTGCTTTAATCATTTCTTATTTTCAAAAGTGAATCAAAAGTACTGTAATCTGTATATGACACTAATTAATAGAATTATATAAGCAACCTGATATTATGCTCATGATAAGTTGTTTCTCTCCTTCTAACCACAACTCCTATATGTTAATCTGATCCTAATCCCAAGCAAGAGTGAATAGCAAAATCATGTACATGTAGCTAAATCATGAAAGGGAATGGGTCTTAAAGACTGCTTACAAGTTCATGATGTATCAGGTCTAGGTAAAAAGATAGCAAAGTCAAGGCCTGGCACATCCCATCAAACATCTTGTCAAATGGCAGACAAGCCTGCAAGCCACCATTCTTCAAAATGGCCTCCATACAAAATGAGTTGTCATTTGATAATGTTCAATGCTTGCATGTGAAGTATCCATGGAATCAGTTTATATTTTCCAAGTTATATAAAAATGTAAAATTCATGTATTAGGGACATAATACGATGTATTTCTGTAATAATTACATAATTGTAAAATTTTAACAAGGAATTTAGAAAATGTCACTGAAAATGAAAATAAACAATTTGTTACAGATGCATAACTGAATATCAGTCAAAATAAATTAGATGCTATAACATTGTGTCATTACATCTTGTTGATAACATAAAAATGGCACAATTTGGTGAAGTCTCATGCTGAAAATAGCTGATTTCTTGAATATTAAACTAAAGTAGGAGCCAAGACCAATGACATGAATTGCATGAACAGCCATGAGCACGCTGACCTTGAAATCATGAAATTAACTGAGCTTTAAGAACTGGATTACTAACATTTTTTATGATGATCATACCTATCTACAAATTATTGACAATAATAAAATTTAATGTTTCACTGTGCAAATATTTTGCTTAGTATCGAAGGATAGCAGGATAGATGTGTGCTGATATGCACATATTCCTAATTAAAGTTACTGTTTCATGCCATAGTGCACGGCATATTGTCACTTGTGATATGGAGTTGAATGTGTCATACATGTGGAAACACACTGAATGTTATTATACATTGCATTTAACTGCACGTTTGATTGAGACATATAATCTAGCCAGTTGCTCAAAATCCGCTACCAAATCAAAATAACATTCCCTGAATGTAATGGGGCAGTGATCTCCCCATGTCACCTTTACCAGGGGGCCCCCCTATTTGAAACCAAAGGCCCCCCAGTTGGCACCCTGCACTTAAACTTCTGATTTGAAAAATGAGTGAAAAAAGCAGCCACCTGGTGATATCACGAGTGTAGCAAGGGCTGATTTTTCAGACTTGAAAATTGCACCCAGTTGAAAATTATTTTTTGGGAGAACAGACCATTGTATTCTCAAAAGTTCAATGTCTGAGAGAAGACTGAATAAATCTAGATTCATCTTTGATGTCAGACAGTGGGGCATAATATGGTCTCCTTGGCTTTAATACTTCATGTATATGTTTCAAAAATCGAGACAATTTTTTGCACCTACCAAAACAGACACTGTTTTTAGCAAGGAATAAATTGAAGAAGCCATCCCTTCCTTCCAAAGAGACAATATAAATAAAAGAGAGCATATCAAACATTCAATGAACTGATGTGATATCTAACGAAACAGAAAATTAATCCCTCATTTTAATTTTGTTTTATTCTAGAAAAAGGTGTTGGGTGACTCAAGCTAAATCTAGCAATATACTAGATGCGAGTAGAAATCATCTTGTTTTATGTCATTAAATATTAAAACTTTAATTGAAGTGATATCATGTATGTAAAATTGCATCTAGAAATGTGGTTTAAAAAAGTATTTACCAACTTTGAAAATGTGACTTCTTGGTCGGGAGATTCCCTATAGACCTCATCTGATAAAATCACAAAAAGTGAAATATCTTTTCTTGTGTTGGGCAGATAACATTTTCTTTTACTGGAGATATTTTCATTTGTATAATTATCAGACACATGGATTATCTGAAAATTGATCCAATTAAACTGATAAAATTCAAGTTTAATGGAACTTTCTTATATACCTGCAATGTTAATTGACCCAAACGAGCCACCTGGTGGTGAAACTGATAACTACTTACTTGCATGTGGGTAATTCACTGAATTTTTGATCTGATCCCTCAGATATGTATTTTATTTTATGACTTACTTGATTTTTGATGTTGATAATGTTTTACTCCTTGATGGTTTTATGGCCCCTGTCTGGTCTCTGTTCATACACACTGTCCATCCTGTCTCTGGCAATTCAAATGTAGATCTCACCTGTACAATAGATGGCGAAATATCACAAAAAAATAATCAGATTTTATAATGAATTTGCAAAAAGAGCAGACTGTAGCAGGGCATACTGTTAATTTTTTCAGTTATATACTAAGAATAGTAACTATAGTATATGAAAATCAGGATGATAGATCAGATTAAGAAAATCAGGATCAGATCTCAATTATATAAAAGACAGATCTGCAAAATGAGGGAAGGAAGAAGAATAGAAAAGTTACCATGATATCAGATTCATAAAAAATCAGAAAGTTTATTTAATGGACAATAACAAATATGGCAAAAGGCATCTTCTTGGTTGAATACATTCAGTGTTTTTCCCCAGTATTAAGACGGATTTGCAAAATGAGGGAAGGAAGAAGAATAGTTAATGGGCAATAACAAATATGGCAAAAGGCATCTTCTTGGTTGAATACATTCAGTGTTTTTCCCCAGTACTAAGATGGATTTGCAAAATGAGGGAAGGAAGAAGAATAGTTAATGGACAATAACAAATATGGCAAAAGGCATCTTCTTGGTTGAATACATTCAGTGTTTTTCCCCAGTATTAAGACGGATTTGCAAAATGAGGGAAGGAAGAAGAATAGTTAATGGGCAATAACAAATATGGCAAAAGGCATCTTCTTGGTTGAATACATTCAGTGTTTTTCCCCAGTACTAAGATGGATTTGCAAAATGAGGGAAGGAAGAAGAATAGTTAATGGGCAATAACAAATATGGCAAAACATATTTTTTTGGTTGAATTCATTCAGTGTTTTTCCCCAATATTTAAACAAACAGCACCTACTTTGGATTTAGAAATGAGGCTTGCATTCATTTTTTTCTGAGAGAAGGGAATAAATGACAATGTTTATTATTAAGAATGTTAATTTCAATCAATTCAAGTGAGGAGCAACATTTCGTTGATGTTCCCAAATGAATTTTGGATATTACCTTCTCGAAAAAATCATCAATCCTCTCCGTGGGCTTAGATTCAATTCTGCGTGTACCATGTTTGGAGGACTGTACACGGATGATCTGAAAAAACATATAAAATATAGATAATATCCTTTCAAAGAAATACTGACAGGAGTCTGTGAATTATGATATAGTAGATTCCAAGTCAAGGAGATCGAAAAATGACAGAAGAATTAGACTAGTAGTGAAGTCTCAAGTTTTCCTGCATGTGACATGGAGAGCATTTTTTGCTTCATCAATAAAAGTGAAAGTTGCATACGTATTTGGAGATATGTATACATAATATTGTATTTGAAGGTTTCAAAATGCAAGTCATTGATTTTGAACAACAGCTGATTCATGGAAAAACCAATAAGATGCACAGAAAAAAGTATATACACGAATCATATTACATTTACAATGTCTGAGTAATCCAAATATACTTACAATTTTGTTGGACATATTTGAAGCCCCTATGAAGCCTCGAGATGGCTAATATCCAATGTAAAAAATCTTTGTTTTTTTTCTTCAAAATTTTTCACATTTCGAAATCTCGCGATGAGTCGGACTTGATTCCCTTTGAGAAACAAATTTTAGTTTACAAAATTTATAAGAAAATATTCCTTATAGATTATAAGAGAGCAATAGGTAAATTAGTGTGGATATTTCTGTATATTATTAGGATAAATTAAAGTTTGAAGTGAAGTCTCGCAAATCACCAGCGAGAATTGGCGACCGATCCAAGATGGAGGACAAGGTTGTAAACATTGCCAGAAATATCGTAGAAAACAAAGGTTTGTGCCTCACCTATCAGACAGAAATACAAATAAGTCTCTATACTCGTAAAGAAATATATTTCCTATGGGAAAATACATGTTTACTTGAGTTTAATTGTCTGGCTTGTTCAGTTTGACCTATTTGATCAATTTTGTGAAATTTTGAATTTTTCAAAAATAGGCCTAGTCTATTAGATCTGTTGCCTGAGGCACTCGGAGGAAAATTGTAAGTTGTCACTCATTATTTTTGTACCTGAAATTCCTTACAAAATTTCCATGCTCATCACCAATTTCCTGATTTTGAGAGAATATGCAGGCCCGTTGCCAGGATAGGATTTGCCTTACTTAGTTTGCACAAAGCTATCTCCTGAGAGATAGCTTTGCATATCTTGATATTCCCAGTCCTTTATAAAGGTCTTTTGTTAAAATGTAAGAAATCTTGGAAACATTTACCCTTCTTCAATCGATGCATAACATTCTAAAGTATCATTTTTCTAACCATATCGGGCTAGCTGGAGTCGGGAGACAGTGTAATTGACGAAAAATGTTGAAGAGTTTTCAAGATGGCTTCTCAGGAAGTTGGGTAATGCGCATGCGCTTCCATGCCATGAGATTTCCGCTTCCAGTTATGCGCATTGGCAAGACTTCCTGGTCAAGCGACATGGAAAATAACAAGTTCCAAATACATTTTTCGTCAATTACACTGTCTCCCGACTCCAGATAGCCCGATATGGTTAGAAAAAAGACACTTTAGAATGTTATGCATCGATTGAAGTAAGGTAAATATTTCCAAGATTTCTTACATTTTGTAAAAGACCTTTAACATGGGCTGGGAATATCAAGATATGCATAGCCATCTATCTAAAGATGTGCAAATGTCAAATACAGTAAGATTTGCCAAGGGCAAGGGGGCTTTACTTTTTGAAAATTCCTGGGGGGTTCACTTGTGACAATTTTGGTTCAAAAATGGCCAAACTGCTTGATTTTGAAAGAATTTTTTGCCAGGGAACGGGCCTGATATGTTTTGAGAAGTAATAAAAAGTCAAAATTAGAAGGTGGTATCAAATTACATAATGTAGGCCTACAAGTACTTCATGTGTTGATTTTGAACTGTGAAGTGCAGACGACTTCAAAATCACCAAACTTACATTCTCATAAAATGCTGATATTCACAAAACTAAACAAAAGCACATGCTTGTTTTGTTGTTGGTTAGCTAGATTACATGGGATAATGATATCAAAAATTATGGGAAGAAATTTAGAATCCACAGTGACAGGAGAATTCTAGTGGTACATGATCTGGAGTCTGGATCAAACTATTTTACAAATGGCTTGGGGATAGAAATAAATCTAGAACATAAATAGTACACATGCTGTACTCTGCATTTTTGCTTTCAGTTCTCCCACAACGGCCTCCTTCCAGCAACAAAAGAGGGCGTCATGAAGTCTGTGCTTACACAAAGGAACTTTCTAATACAACCAAAAATTATAAACATCCCCCAAGTCAGATTCATGCTTCAAGTACCAAAACGAACACTCCAAAGAAAACAAACAGGGTTCAAAGTGCAAAAGCCAGAATGGTTACAACTACGGCAGAAAAAGACACCCAACAACTAGCGCTCATCATCAATACACGGGATCGCCCTAAATCTGCAGCATCAGTTCCAGCTTTGGATCTCTCTAATCTAGTCATTAATGAAAAACAAACCAAAGACAAAGTTAAACAAACTTTACGTTTAAAAAACAATTATACAGATATTCAGTCATTTGGTAATGCGTTAAAACCTTCTGTATCAGGCTACAATGCTAATGATGAATGGTGTTATGATGATGAAACATTCAGAGACACTAAGGAGTTCTGTCCTTTCAAACTTACTGAGAAAGATCCAGATTACATGTATGTACCTGATGACTCCTATAGCGATCAAGGATATGAAGATAACTTTGACATGTAAGTAAATTGAATATCCACAGAAAAATAATCTTCAGAAGCTCTTCATATTATTTTCAAAAATATAATAAATTGTTGAAATGTGCCACAATCATTATATCAATTGACATAAACTAAAACTCAAAGGTGTAGGTATGCATTATCCAAACAAGGCAATTAACTTGCCAAAGTTTTACAGAAATAATGTTTTTCAGAATTTTTAGCCCCTGAAACCATATTATTTATTTCCAGTAAAATGCCAAGTACCTTACGACCTCTCGCTCCCTGGCTGACGGAGAACATCCCTCCAGAGTGGACTGGTCTTGCCCCTGCTGGCTGTCTTATGTTCCTACCCTCTCTCGCCAGTCAGATGACAGATCTACCCATTGTGCCACCCCCTGTCATGGATTCTGATGCGGAGCTCCCATACATTGAAAAAATTGTACAACCAGAGCCATGGGTATGGATTTTGATATTTTTTGTTCACTAAACTAGTCCTTTGAAATAAAAAAGATTATTTAGCCAAAACCATGGGTATTTATTTCCATTTTTGGTCCACTATTGAAAATAAAATATTACACAGGAGCTTGATTTTAAAAACTTATTGAGCTGTTGAGGAGTTCTTGTCAATGTAAAGCTTTTTGTTATGTGCATAATAATTTATATTTTGTACTCTATGAAACTCACAACTGTCATTTTGTATTTTATGGAATGGATTTAATGTTGATAATATGGTCCATGTATCCGCAAAAACTGTAGGCCTCTTTAACTCAATTTTGTGAAATAAACAAGTCAATGATATACTTGTCAAGTATAGAATTTATAGATTATAGTTCTTGTTTTTCAGGCACCGAAGAAATATGACCATCCCTTTGTAAGTATATTGTATGTAATACTTTCATTTGGGTATATAGTGTTAAACTATTATCCATTTTATTTTTAATGTATGGTCCCTTGAATGTAGATTGTAGCAGAACTAACGAGCTGACATTCATGGTAAATGAAAATTATACTGAAAACTCTGGGCGCAGGCCAAAATGTTATTTTTTGGAAACTTGAAAATGGCCAAGAGGTTTAAGATGACATTTTTTACAATGAGGCTTGCAGTAGAACATCTTCAAACAAGCGATACCATTAAGTACCACACCACAAAGTTTCACGATTTGTTTCTGTGAAAAATTATAAGAAACATGAATTCCATTTACTAATTAAACTAAAGTGCCTCAATATATCATTTATTAAAAATGGTTATGCAATAGTGTACAAATAGTGACTGCCATTGAGGGAAATAGTGCAAAATATTTTCCTCAAGGGAATATCCTGTCCACTGACATGTTCCCGAGGCTGCAGGCCGAGGGAACAAGTCAGTGGACAGGATATTCCCGAGAGGAAAATTTTTAAACTATTTCCCGAAAATGTGGCAGTCACTATTTGTTTTATTATATACCCGATAAGTACTCTGTAAACAAAAACAAAATGAGAAGTCTTTTCATTTCAATATCAAACGTTCACAGGTTCTTATTGGCATTTAAAGGCATTTTACCTTTCAACTCCTATAATCTCAGATTTGGGGGAAGATAAAACGTACTATTGACTGGTCACATGACCTAACTGGTGATTAGTACAATTCATCTTCCCTGAAAGCAGGGATTTAGGACTTTCCAGGGAATTAGTTCATCTATTCCATGTCATGTGACCATGAATAAGCCAATGAGCATCTAGAATACATTTGAGGTATATAATAATTACCTATATTTTATAGCATTCAAGAAAGACCAAGGACTGGGTGTGCAAACATAGAAAACATAAACGAGTAAAAATATTCACAGAAGATGGCAGATTATTGCATGAGTGAGTTTCAAAAGTACTTGTAGTCTGAAAAAAAAAAAAATGAGTTGTTACATTACATAACATGATTTTGCCTTAATTCAGGTTATATGCAGAGGCATGTTCCTTGAAAGTATCCCACTGTTGTTCTTTTAGAACTACATGTACTTGTATTCCAAATAAATCACACTCTTTATAAGAGATTGATTCAGTCTGCACTCTATACATAAGTGAATGATTCTGTGAAATATCCCTTACCTTGTATTTCTAATCAGAATACAAAGAGAGCTAATCAAAATACTAATATTTACTATCTATATGTTTGTAATAATCATTTAAACTTTTATGAAAGTTACACGTGTGATCAATGAGATCTTATGAGCATCAAAACATAGTTAGATTTTTTGTTTACAATAGTAAACTAATATAAAACCATATAGTCCATACACTTATTTTCATTATTTACAGAAAACAAGTTGAAGGTCGTACAGCTAATGTGGTGAGACGTGAAATCCTAGAGCTGGAAAATCTCCTAAAGGGTAAGAATATATCTGAATATGAGGGTTATTTAATGGGAGGTTTTGGATACAGGGTATATTCTGAGGAAAATTCAATATATCTACCTGTATAGGATGTAATGTAATGACCTTAATTTTCCCTATCTTTGGGGAATCATATTTGCTTATTCCTAGATGCAAGAAATAATTTTGATTTATCAAAATATTTATTTTCCCTTAAAGCAGATTTCGTTTGCTTTTAAGGATTATAAAAGTAGATACTCAATCCATCTAGAATTGCTCTGAGCACTGATCTTCTGGTATTCCTATACATCTTGAGATAACATTTTTATACATCACTAGATAACATTTTTATACACCATGAGATAAAAATTTTATACACCATGAGATAACATTTTTATACACCATGAGATAACATTTTTATACAACATGAGATAATAAATGTACTGCATGAGCATTCCTATATATCAATGAAAGTACCGTATGTATCAAAAAGAGAATCACCTAGAAGGCCGGTAAAAGTAGTTATTTTGAACAGATATAATTACGCCAAGTGATCGGACAAAATGGAAGGAGGGGGAGTAGGTGATTTCTCCAAGAAAATTCAATGATTCTGGTGGATTTATATTTTCAAGAGAAAGTTTATGTTTGAATTGCTAGATAAAAAAAGCGCACAGCATGGTAAAATATGTTAGGTCTTCTCAGATTTTTTTGATTTTTAACTGATAATTATATCTCCTGCCAGAATGTAGTATTATATGACCTTTATTGTTAATGCTGTGCTAATTAGCAGAAAGTACATAACAAGACAAACAATTTGTTCATATTTAAACTTAATTCATAGTACTGAGTTTAACTCCATTCAATATGTAAAATAACGAGCCTCTGTTAGTGGTATCCCGTCCAAGTTAAAAAAAGGTGTTCCATCTAAGCAGATTTTTCCTTATACTGTAGTGCTATCATGTATCTAGCACCACAAATCCACATTGCAAATGTCCACTTGCAGGTATAGGGGATGCCAACAGTAACTGCAGCATAGTCCAGTACCAGGCAGAGATAACTAGACTGAAACACATGGCGGATGACACTCTTGCGAATGTTCCTAATAGGTAGGCATGTTACATTCAACTAAGTTTTTATTTTGCCACAAAGACGCTTGTCTCCAGTATTTTGTGTATGTATCAAAATGTATGTGGTGAAATCGTGATATGTTTGTGTTTTGTTCACATATAACATGCTCACTCAAGGCTGGGTGTTATTTCATTGATTAGTTTATATGTCACCGCCACATGTTCTGCCACATGACATATTCTTATAGTCTCCAACTTTTTGTGAACAGTGTTCAGCAGTTGGTGTTTAGCAGCCAGTGTTCAGGGTCTGGCATTCAGCATCTGTAACAAATGGCAGGAAGTGACATGCATATTTTTTTCATGTTAATGCCTCCCTTGCTCTTATTTTACCATTTTTAGTCTGTATTTATTTTTAAATTGTCAAATCATTTACATATTATGAACCTTTAAACAATGGGTGACAGTAAATTATATAATTATTCCCATACAATGGGGGAGTTCCGCTTAATTTTGTCAACACAATTTTCCAACTGAACTACTTGAATGATTGATTTCAGATTTTTAGGGATATTTCTCTGTACAAAAATCAAGGTCTGATTAGTTTCGGGGCAATACTGTTCACTCTGTGTCTTGTTGAAGATATTGAATTAGATGCATGATATCTGGATATGAATCTAAAAATATCTATCTTGCTGTCCAAAATGTGCTTTTTACATATTTCACATTATTTTTGGATTGAAGATCAGTATATTCTGAAAATTTAAAACAGACACATAAATTGTTAAACATTCAAATTCGTCATTCCAGAATTGCACTTTTGTTATGTAAAATAAATAAGTTTCCTTGTTTCATTTCAGACATGTGGATGAACCCGAAGAGGAAATTACTGATTATGTAAGTATTGACATTGTACTGAAGTTTTTTGTACTGTGGTTATTGTACTGAAGTTATTGTACTGGAGTTTTTGTACTGTGGTTGTTGTACTGAAGTTTTTGTACTGTGGTTATTGTACTGAAGTTTTTGTACCGTGGTTATTGTACTGAGGTTTTTATACTGTGGTTATTGTACTGTGGTTTATTGTACTGAGGTTTTTGTACTGTGTATTGTGGTTGTGTTCACATCATCAATGGTAAAATATTGTTAAAGCCACTATTTTTGTGATCAGCATCGTTGTAAGTAGTAAGCAACAGTAACACATTGTCACACTTTTGTAACTATTTGCAATAATAAATGATAGATAATTAATAAAGGTTGACATAACATTAGCTTAGATATAGTTTTAAGTACAAGATTTCTCCAAAAAATACATGTATCTCTTGAGATTATGGCTATACACATATTTAAAGATACTCAAGGGGCGAGGAGGAAAATTCTCAATAAATGGTGTATAGTTGGTTTGGCAGTATTTTCAGTTAGGGGAGAGTCTTGGATGAAATTTCCACCTAGGTGATAGCTTCGCAGAGTGGTAGGAAGTTCTTTTTTTTAGGAGTTAGCCCCCCACCCCCCAAAAACACCCCACCATGGGGGAAAAATTGTTCACACTAAATAACCTTAGATATTTTTATGTTTGTAAGTGACATACATAGATATTATATATATGAATAATTTGCAGTATTATTGATGCTGATTACTCCTAAAGAATTTGAATATCAGTACAAAGTGTGTACCCCAGGGGGCAAATTCGTGACTCATTTTCTTACTGTTTTGATTCTAACTTTTCAATTAGAGACTGTAAGAGGTTGAAAGAATTCATGTGAAGTGCCCAATAGCAGGGTTAGTAACCCTGAAAGTAGCAAAGCCATGGAAGAAGTAGGAGCTGAGAAAAAAATTGTTGATTTTTCGAAAAATTTGACATTTTTGACAACTGGATTTTGTGTATGACTATAGCTGACCCCTATAGTTTCTAGATCCATCCCTCTATGATGATATTTATGGTTTTATAGTGTGGAACTAAGATGTAAAACATAATTTAGATGGGTTTTAAGGAAGTTAAAGGTTTTAAACAAGTCCAAAATTTGAAAAATTGTAAATATAAGGTTTCAAATTTACGAATTCCAGGTATAGCCATGGCTGACCCCTATAGTTTCTAGATCCATCCATCTTTGATGATATTTATGCTTTCATAGTGTGAAACTAAGATGTAAAACATAAATTAGATGGGTTTTAAGGAAGTTAAAGGTTTTAAACAAGTCCAAAATTCGAAAAATTGTAAATGTAAGGTTTCAAATTTACGAATTCCAGCTATAGCCATGGCTGACCCCTATAGTTTCTAGATCCATCCCTCTTTGATGATATTTATGGTTTTGTAGTATGGAACTAAAGATGTAAAACATAATTTAGATGGGTTTTAAGGAAGTTAATGATTTAAAACAAGTCCAAAATTTGAAAATTTGTAAATATAAGGTTTCAAATTTACGAATTTTAGGTATAGCCATGAATGACCCTTATGGCTTTTTCATCAATACTTCTACGATGAAACATATACTTTTAGAGTGTGAAACTAAGATGTAAAACATACCGAAGATAAATTTTAAGGAAGTTTAAGAATTTTAACAAGTGCAATATTTGAAAAATTAAGAAATATCAGGTCTCAAAGGAGCACGGAAAGTATCGCAACAGATTTCAGACAGTCATATGTTGGATTTTGTCTGTTTTCTGAGGATTTAAGCAGGTGCATATGATAGGCCATTGCATTACCTACAGGAAAGGAAATGCATTGGCCTAACATATGCACCTCCTCAAATCCTCAGAAAATAGCCAAAATCCAACATATGATTGCTGAAATCTGTTGCGATACTTTCAGTCCTCCTTTACGATTTCAGGTATAGCCCTGGATGTCCCTCTTTTTGAATGTATGACTTACCTTAGAAATTAGATTTTGAAAATATTGTGGTCAGGTTTGATCCATGTTACATGTATTGTTAAAAGAAAGATCATTAGAGTTGAGGACTTAACCCTTGAGTTTCTAAGGGGGTGAGAGGTTAATAAATCCCCCAGTAAGTGTAACTGCTCCTAGGGATATCGTATACAGTGTAGTAATTGATTGATTAAATGGATTATAACTAATTAATTATTATTTGACGATATTTATTATGTGATATAGCATTTTTACTTTTTCACATCAACATGTTCGATGTAATGTTCTGCATTATCAAAATACATAAAGACATGGTTAATTAAAAGAAACATGTTTTCTCTATATTTTGTTATGCCCCTTCTGTAATTAAGCAATGATCATCTCCTAATACAAAATGTTGTTATGAATTATCAAATTATAATCACTACACTCCGAATTAAACAATTTGTCATCAGGCAACAGTAATTATTTGGGAAAATAAGGATTATAAGGATCATACCCCCCCCCCCGCCCGGGCCTAGAAACTTCCGTTAGTGCAATGATATAAGGAACTCTAGGGTAAAAGGGTCTTGTCACATTAAAATCTTCATGTAGATCAAAAAAGTATATATGGTGATATGATCAATATGTTTCAAACAAACAGACATTGTAGAAAATGTTTACATACTTGACTTTGCAGATGACATTTTCTGGCATAGTTGAAGAATTTTTTTCATTTATTGAAATGATAGTCATAAAATTATAATATCAGTGTCATTTGATGCAAATTACTGCAGTCCCACATGTTCTGCTGAATGTAAAACAGAGTGAATAATTTTAAAATCAGCCTCTTGAGGAGTGGAATTTAACAGGAGATTTCAGTTATCATTTTCACAGATATCTGAGTTCTCTCCAATAGTTCCACTTAAAACAATCTTGACATTTGGCACACTTTTAGAATGCTGCTTTATTGAATTTCTTTGTAATCTTTGAAAATTTGTCTTATATTACTTGGACAAAGGTATTCATATTTTTAGGTAATGGTGTAATTTCTTCTATGGATTAAAGTTCAATAGGGGAAGCATCCATTCTTCGCATTCTTTCAGAATCCTTTACTGATGGAGACAACTAGCTAGGAGTCTAATATGAAATCTATTCTTTGGGCTCCTTTACTAGATTTGATGGAGTAGTCAAATATAGCTTTCCAAAACTCTCCAAATTTCAACATATAAGTTAATCTTCATTTTCCCTTTGTCATAGCCATTGCATCAATCACGAAAGTTTTATCAATTTGTGGTATGGTTTCATTGATCTCCATTTCAAACCCCTTTTTAAGTTCTGATTTTACAGGATAAGATAGATGATCATTGTCAAACAAACTGTTTGTATCCATATAAGATCATAGTTTTCTCACACATTTCTAGGCAAGGTGTGTCCAATTCCAGCCAATTCAATATTCCATATAACTGCATTCCAATTTACTACTCTCATAAACCCAAGGTCAATTTTAGATTCAAGAGAAACTAATGAAACTAATGATCATAGGGAATAGCATGCCAAGTGCTTGTATTTGAATTTATGTGGATTACTCATTTGGTAGACACCTTTATCAAATGTTAAAGTGTTGTTGATTTTCAAGTTGTACAAGCACAGTGTCATGGGTGCTTTCTTTTCCTGACATAGTATAACATTGTGGTAAAAATTATCAAAGGCACCTAGTACAGTAGTTCTAGTTCATCATCTTGTATAAATGATATATCAGCAGTGAAACCTGTATATCCCAACATCTGACTATTGTGAACACCTACCAATCATCCCAACACCTGACTTATCTGAAAACCAACCAATCTGAACACTTTTCCCCAGTTCAATTTTTCCTTCCTCCCATTGACTCCTATGTTTAAAAATTGAAATCTGAACACCTCTTAATTCGAACAGTGAACACTCATATTTGAAAAATCAACCTGTTTAACTTGAACTTTTTTTTTACCAAATATCACATATTTCTTACAAAATTGCTCAAATATTGTCAGTTTAACACTGAATTGTTATGATATCAAAACTTTTGAATTGGATTTTGGAATGCTATTAAGCTTTTTGGGTGGTCAGTATAAATATTTATTAATATTTTTCATTGAGAATGTATTCATATTTCTTCAAAATCCAGAATATTGCAGATGTAAAAACCTCAAAATTCAAACACTTCTAATTTGAACGCTTTTAGCTGGTCCAAATACTATATCTAGTAGCATTCAGATTAGAAAGATATTACTGTAGTTCATGACTTTTCACTCCATCTATATGCAGCAGACTAACTGCTGCAACAGGTATATATTCTACACCTGGTCTCTAAGCTATGATATCACAGTTGTTACTATTATGCTCATAACCTTCGATTATCAGGGCTCATTCAAGGCTGTACCTGAATAACGTGAATTTGAGACCAATTTTCGAGATCAATTTTTCAAATTTTGCACTTGTTTAAAACCTTGAACTTCCTTCAAACTCATCTTATGCATCTTTTACATTTTAGTTAAATACTCTAAAAATATATATCTCATCACTGAGGTATAGATGTAAAAAAAACATAAGAGTCATCTTTGGCTATACCTGAAATTCATAAATTTGAAAACTTACATTTACAATTCTTCAAATTTTTGACTTGTTTAAAACCTTAAACTTTCTTAAAATTCATTTTGGGTATGTTAAATCTTAGTCCCACACTCTAAAACTGTATATTTAGTCAGAGAGGTATGGATGTAAAAACCATAAGGGTCAGCCATGGCTATACCTGAAACTCGTAAATTTGAAACCTTATATTTACAATTTTTCAAATTTTGAACTTGTTTAAAACCTTAAACTTTCTTAAAACCCATCTAAAATGTGTTTTACATATTAGTTCCATATAGCAATACCATAAGTATCACCATAGAGGGATGGATCTAGAAACTATAGGGGTCTGCCATGGCTCTACCTGGAATTCGTAAATTTGAAACCTTATATTTACAATTTTTCAAATTTTGGACTTGTTTAAAACCTTAAACTTCCTTAAAACCCATCTTAATTATGTTTTACATCTTAGTTCCACACTATAAAACCATATATATCATCATAGAGGGATGGATCCAGGAACTATAGGGGTCAGCTATAGTCATACACAAAATCCAGCTGTCAAAAATGTCAAATTTTTCGAAAAATCAACAATTTTTTTCTCAGCTCCTACCTCTTCCATGGCTTTGCATCTTTCAGGGTTACTAACCCTGCTATTGGGCACTTCACATGGATTTTTTCAACCTCTTACAGTGTCTAGTTGAAAAGTAAGGATCAAAATAGTAAGGAAATGGGTCACGAATTTGCCCCCTGGGGAACACACTTTGTACTAATATTCAATTTTTTTAGGAGTAATCAGCATCAATTATACTGCAAATGATTCATATATATAATATCTATGTATGTCACTTACAAACATCAAAATATCTAAGGTTATTTAGTGTGAACAATTTTTTTCCCCGGGGTGGGGTGTTTTTGTGGGGTAGGGGGCTAACTCTTCAAAAAAAAGAACTTCCTACCACTCTGTGAAGCTATCACCTAGGTGGAAATTTCATCCAAGACTCTCCCCTAACTGAAAATGCTGCCAAACCAACTATACTCCATTTATTGAGAATTTCCCTCCTCGCCCCTAGAGTAAGAGTAAAAATCTGAGTTTGACAGATACTGAAAATATCCACCTCTCACCCAAGATTCAGCATATTATCTACATAGAACCTCAGTTGGTATGGGATTTTGTATACTGGACATGTCCTCCCATCTGTTTTAAATTATGCAACCATGGGCTTTCAAGAGAAGGGTATGCAGATTAAATATATCACTTGAAAGCCCATTAAACTACAAACACTACCTGACTACGGAGTCATTGCAGCAATAAGGAAGAAATAACCCGTTATACTAGCACATTTCATTTATGTTGATGAAAAAATATTTCATATCACATTATATTGGCATTCTTTTTATCATGATCAATTTTTATATATTGCAGTGTGGTCTGAGGGAGTATTACAAACATCATGATGAAGTGATGAAGCAGATCAGAAAAGAACATGAACAATGTCTAGAAGAACTAGCAGTACTAGAAGCTGATATTATTGAAGATGTAAATGAAAGACATTTCTCAAAATGACACCTGGAATTTAGAGCCTGAATAGTTGCTTATGTATTATGGCAAGCTCATGGTGAAGAATTAATTGTAAATCTGAGGATTGGCCATCGATTGGTCATTTTATATTAAACTAATTTGCAATGTTAAAACAGTTCACATGAACATGGAGCAAGAAATGGCACCCAGGGTTCCATCTGGATATTCTGCCATATGGAGTCATGTCGTGATTACAAAATTCAAAATTAAAAGCTATCATATTTTCACTTCAATCAATCAAGGAGCCAATGTTTAACTGTAACAAATATGAAAGGTTGAGCTTTTTTAAATTAAAATTGGAAATTTTGAACAAATTTCTTAATTTTTGCTATTTTTGCTATCCCTGATGCTTTAACAATTGAGAATTTGGATCTTATTCTTGTAAGATAAGAAGTAGACATCACTGCCAAAAGTGGTGTCAATAACATGATAAAAAATTTAATTTTTGAAGAATATTTTTTTGAAATTTTTCTGAACAGTCTGACAAACTATTTGATTGATACATTCATACCCATTCTTAACCCTTAGTCTATTTGATTTGCAAGGCTAACATGAGAGTTCACAGTAAAATATGAAAAAGTTATTGGAGCCACTGGCCCATAGCCAGCTTTTGCCAAGGGTGGTTCACTCTTAAAAATTCCAGAGGAGGCTCACATTTGACTATTTGAAATTTGCTCAGAAATCAAGTGATGAAAAACTGTATGATTTTGAAATAAATTTTGGCCAGGTCGCTCGCACCCCCTAAGCCAGGACCTGGATCAGGGAGCTTCATATTGCCTAAAAATCATCTGCTTTATTATATTGGCTCTTAATTTACAGTATTAAGTATGAATAATATTAGTAACAACTACACATACATCAGGGTGTTTGACTGAGTGGTCCACAACTTGTAAAAAGGCTGTGGTGTGTATTTGTATGGCTATGTATGAGTGCACATAGAATTACACAGGGCTCCTTCAAGGAGGAGTTCCTGGGTCTGCCTTCCCTGATTATGTGTTAATTATGACCGTATATATACAGGATATACTCTAGAGGTACTGGTCACCTTCATTGATGGTAAACAAAATACAATACAACAAGACAATACAATACATGCATGACATAAAGATAAGTTGGAAATCGTTGAAGAAAATAAATCAAATAGGCCAATGTGCCTTCACCGATCGGTCCTTTTTCAATTAATTTATCAATAAACAGCTAATAAACAGCTAATTGCCATGCAACCTTAATCATTAAAACATTATGCAATTAGCCTTTAGGGGATAGTATGTTAACATTATTGAAAACTTGCTTATTGATGGCTCAGCAATTGAGTATTGCATGCATCTACCTTTTTTTCATTGAATCTCAAAATATATAGTTTTTATTGAAAACAAAGAATGAAGGAACTGCATAAAGCGATCATCTTATTTTGTTGCATTTATATTTTTGGAATATTCATCAGACAAGTTCTATACATAGCAAATCAGAAACATTACAGTAAAATTATGAAAGGAAATCATTCCAAAAGATCCAAACCTGAAGGTTCAAGTATGGAGCATTTGACACACAATGTACCACCTGTACCCATGGACGGCCCCACAACATTGGACAGTGAATTATTTAAAAATGGACAAATTACGAGGCCAATTACATTATGGAGCATGGATATGCATATATCTCCTATCCATGATTTGAAGACATTGTTGGAACCAATGGGAGTTAAGTTCATTGACAAGTCGCTCTCGGTTCATTGTCGTATAACCAAAACTTGCAATCCAGTCCCGCCTCTTCGGATTATTAATTGCAGGAATGGATATCACCTGACACCAGAATTAATTTCAAAGTTCTACGAGAGTTATAAAGATGACCCGGAAATGAAAACTGTATCTGCGTTTGTATGTTACCATCCCCCTGGAATGTGTGAACTCTATAGGCCCTTTAAGAAACCGCTAATTATCATATCATCCATCCGATATGAATTAGGCCGCAATGCCCCGAATGAAAGATGGCATAAATACAATGAGAACCTAAGACATATATCCAAAGATCCAAGAAATGTAATTGGTGGAAATAATCTATATGACGCCAATTATATCAAGTATTTTACAGGTATAGAAACAAAACTAATTCCAAGTTACTGCGGATACACAAATGCATCATACCATCCAAGGAGACCTGAATTTCTGTTTGCATCAACCAGGGCTAGAAATGTGGCCTCGACAGGAGTCCAAAAGGGCCTTGAAAAAAGACTAAGAGAGATAAATAGCACTGCAAAAGTGGCCCAAATGAGGGCCCTGTATGGTCACTACAAATACTCAGATCTGACAAACCACCCAGGGATCATACATATCCCCTATCAGGTGTCAGTTATGAGCATGTTTGAGCAATACCGGATGAACATTCCACTTTTTGTGCCATCTTTAGATTCCCTCAGTGAATGGCACGTTAAGTTTAACTTACTTAAAGAGCGAACATGGGATTCAACATTCGGTAAAATTCCATTGAAATCCAGAATACAGGGTGTCCTATCTGGTATCCCAGATCCTAATAGTGACAAGAATATAAATGCTGTAAAATACTGGCTGCAGTTCAGTGATTTCTACCAATGGCCTTATATTACATATTACAACTCTGGTGAGCACCTAGCAGAGATCTTGCATACAATAACACCAGAGAAATTGAAGAACATTAGCAGCTCCATGGCAGTTTACAATAAGAATGAACAGACTAAGATTAAAAACACATGGAAAAGCATTTTAATTAACACTGTATCATAGAGAGATGGGAAACCAAAGAACTCGCTCCATATTCTTGTCAAAAATTGGCTTTTGCCAAGTCTCTGGCTAATGAGGCCATCACTAGTTCTTTCAAGTTCCCCATTTTTCCCAAAATGTTTATAATTTTGAAAATTGGCAAAAATTTGGTCAAAATTGTGTTCATATATTTTGAGCAAAACGCAGTTCATGTTCATATTTACAGTTCAAATATTTAGCTCCCTTGCTTCAGGTCTGTCCCTGTAGTGTATTAATTAAATGCCTTTGTATTTCATCCCATTTTAATAATCATGTCTATTAATAATTATTAATATGAATTATGAGATCTGACTTAAAACATGCTCCAAGCAAAATTTCCAATGAAAATAAAATTTAATTTTGCTGTGATTGTATTGATGTTGTATTTTCTTGCAAAACAGAATAACACATTGAATGAAATAACCTGACCAATGGATTTAAAGATAAATAGTGTCACTAAAGACAACAAAACTTTGCCTTGTGAAGTTAAACTCAAATCAACTAACTAGCTGTTTAAGGTGATTTTCCAACTTTGCTGTAAACTGTATATGTTTGAACATACAGATTTTTACAATTAATTGTTGCATTGTGAACCATAAGTTTTATTGTAAATGTTGTTAAATTGATCATATCCAGGATTACTGCAAATTGTTGGAAGAGCTATTCACAAGATAATACTTTGAATTGTTTTAATGTGAACTATACACGGGGTTGTAATTTGAACTATATACAAGATAACTGTAATTTGTAATGTGAATTATACAAATGTTTACTGTTGTAATGTGAACTAAACATATACATGTTTTATTGTTTTCATGTGACCATATACAAGATAACAGTAAATTGTTGTAATTTGAACAAAAAATAACATGGTATGGTATGTTATTGGAGTTTTTTATTGAGTTTTCCAAAATAATTCAACTGTTCCATTTTATTTGTGTCTCACATTATTTATTAAATCCATATTGTTAAAATATGATATAAGAATAAGATAATTTTAGAAGTGTAATATTTTGCTAAATAAATATATGTTAAAAAATACATTATATTTCTTGTACCTTAAGTTTCCAAAATGGCTGCCACGACAACCCTGTTTAAAATTAACTAGTGCATAAATTAAAGTAGAATACATAAAATCTATAATAGCTGTAGAAATGCTTAAAATCCTCTGAAATCCATTGAGAATTCATAACACATCATGAATTATCACATACATTTGTACATATATTTATGTAAAACTTTGTGAGACACCTACCTCATCTGTCTCATTAAGACAGATACAACCATGTATTAATGGTTCCCTTTTGGAAGCTTTACCATGATTGTCACTAAAAAAATAGCAAAATTTCAAACCTTTTTCAAGATTCAGAATTTGGTTTGAAAATAAATAATCTTTAATTTGGTATATGGCCTTGCAGTATACTGATAAGTTTAGCATTGTCTATGTTCCCACCAGATATCACACAAACAATATTTCCCGACCCAGCTTTCCCAGACAAAGCTGCAGCCAATGGAGCAGCACCTGCCCCCTCTGCAATCATGTGATGCCTCGTCACCAATAATCTGATAGCATCTGCAATTTCTTCAACGGACAATACTATTGAATCATCGACTAGATTGCTAATTAAATTCCACATTCCCGGGAGAACACATTTCGCTCCCATACCATCAATAAACGTTTTTTCATAGTCACATGTCCATGGTTGCTTAGCAGCAAGACTGGCAGATAGTGGAGCTGCAGTCTCTACCTCGCATGCATATATTTTTGTGCTGGGCTTTTTGGATTTCATCACTGAGGCTATTCCACATAATAGCCCTCCTCCCCCAAATGGTGCTATTATTGCATCTACATCTGGTAAATCTTCTAGAATTTCCAGTCCAGCTGTTCCATTTCCTGGAAAGATGAAGGTCGAGTAAATGATTATTTCTTCATAGTGTGTCATGCCTGGAGTGTCATGTTGATACCACCTGAGATACCACCTGCCTACCACACACATTATTATGTGAGGTATCAATTTCAAGTTGTAGTTTAATTGGAATAAATATGAATTTTAAAAATTTCCAATGGACATCCATCCATATCCATCAAATGAAAAATAAATAGAAATAAAAATATATATAAAAAATAAACTGTAAAAATAAGTATCCATGTTGTTTTTACTGGCATAAAATTGTATTTATAACCATGAGGGTAAAAAGAATTCGCCCCTCTAAGATATAATGCAAAACTACAGATTATTTCTCTTTTGAAATACTTGTCAGATGTTTTGGAATGACAATTTAGGCACCATTAAACATATTCAATATCCATACCTGCTATTACATTAGGATCACAGACAGGGTGTACAAACTCCCCCTCTAGACCAGGATATGTGTGTGACATCATAGTACCCCACCAATCATCATAAGGTACGCGTATCACCTCCCCTCCATATCTCTGAATGGAATCCACCTATTAGAAAACACAATGAGCCTTAAAAATCAATCATACACATATATTGTGGTATTACCAACAAGATGTTTTGACATATTGTTCAAACTGCCATTTTTGTGTCACCATCATAAGTGCTGCCATTTTTGTGTCACCATCATAAGTGCTGCCATTTTTGTGTCACCATCATAAGTGCTGCCATTTTTGTGTCACCATCATAAGTGCTGCCATTTTTGTGTCACCATCATAAGTGCTGCCATTTTTGTGTCACCATCATAAGTGCTGCCATTTTTGTGTCACCATCATAAGTGCTGCCATTTTTGTGTCACCATCATAAGTGCTGCCATTTTTGTGTCACCATCATAAGTGCTGCCATTTTTGTGTCACCATCATAAGTGCTGCCATTTTTGTGTCACCATCATAAGTCCTGCCATTTTTGTGTCACCATCATAAGTGCTGCCATTTTTGTGTCACCATCATAAGTGCTGCCATTTTTGTGTCACCATCATAAGTCCTGCCATTTTTGTGTCACCATCATAAGTGCTGCCATTTTTGTGTCACCATCATAAGTGCTGCCATTTTTGTGTCACCATCATAAGTGGTGACATATTGTTGTAGTCTCCAACTTTTTATTGACAGCCCAGACATACTGTTTACAGTGTCCAACTTTTTTGTGGTTGGCATTCAGTGGTCAGCTTTTGTAACAAATGGTAAATTTGACATTCACTTATTGTATCTGTAACATATTGTTACACTTCTGTAATCGCAACCAGGTGGTGATACAATTTTTTCATATATTGTTAAATCTTTTTCAACCCCTCATATGTGGATCTGTTATCTAAAGAACAGATTGTTCAGGAAAAATCCACAATTGGTTTTTGAAAGAAATCAACATTTACACAGTGATTTAAGCACAAAATAAGTTCGCTATCAGATGTAGAAATGCACAGATGAATATAAAAATGCCAACTCAAATCACTCATAATTTTGAACATTATTTTATGTAGATAGCCTTACAGTAGTATTGTCTCATTTTGACTCCATCTCAAGCAGAGGTCCTTTATCTATAAGGTGTAAAACACAATGCACAATCAAAAAAGCACAATTCGTTCAATGCACAATCAAAAAAGCACAATTCGTTCAATGCACAATCAAATAAGCAAAATACCTTCATTTGAGGAGCATTCTCTGGGACTACAATCTTAGCTGGGATGCCAAGCTTTGTAGCTCCCCATGCTAACCCTTGTGCAAAGTTCCCAGCACTTGCTGTGTAAACACCATTGGAAAGGAACACTGGGGGCGTACATTTTATAGCATTCAAAGCACCTCTTATCTTAAATGAACCAATTGGTTGGAGATTTTCAAGCTTGAGGTAGATCTGAAAAAGTGCAACCCAAGGAATACAATCAGCTAGTAGTAGGACTTCCAGCAATCTGTGATGCAATCATATATACACTCCCCTCCATAAGTTGTATCATGGGCAAACCCATGGTTGTATGAAGGAAAGAGTGAGATATACTCATCTTCATAAGTTTGGTGTTACTATAGGTATGTCATTAAATCCCCTTATGGTAAGAGTCTAATCGAAAGCTAGCTACAGTGTCCATAGTTTGCCATTGTTGTAGAAGAAAGTGATCGGTTTGGTACGTAAGATTGTCCCAACTGCCGTATTTTACGTAATAAACAAACTATATCCAGCCTAGCATGGGATAAAACAAGCCTGAATGAAAACAAACAAACAAAAAAACAACAAACCTTTTTGTCATCAAGGTCAATGTTCAGTGGCACTAAGGGTGTCTTGAGCACGCCTTGATGTTCTAAATTCATCCTTGCCTCTTCAATTTTCTCCAAAGGTATCACATCCAAGTCTTTCACATTTGGAGCCCTTGCAGTCATGGTTTCAAGCAGATCTACAGTATAGTATACAGATAAACGTTTGTAAAGTGTAGCATAGAAGAATATATAGAAAAATATAGCTAAGACTATGGAACTTCCCACAATCTGTGTTCAGAAGAGTATTACAGTACAGTGAACATTTTGTGCCAGAGGTGTGAGAGATGTTCAACAAGTTAACACAGGTTTTACTGTACATTGTACAAGTATGAAACTAAAATAACTTACTACAAACTCCAAGCTTACAGTGTGACACCGTCTGAAGTATGTCACTTCTCCTATACTGGTAACAAAGATATAAAAAATTGAAAAAAATAATCACTGGAGAGCGGAAGTTCCGAAGGTCGTAAAAATGATCAAGTGACCAATGTTTACATTTATCTCGCTATAGCGATTAATTATATAACTAATACAAGTGTTTTCTCGTGATAAAGTGCTGACCTACATAAAAATGGCTGGACGACTTTTTAAATGCTCTAGGTTTCTGAGGAAATCAAGCGGTGTGCAAAATGGTAAGTTGTCAAAACATTATTATCATTGTTGATAAATACATCCTGCATACAAATGCTTAATTTTCGAAAGATCTCTCGTCTCAATTTTGACAAGTTGTAAAGTAAGGTCTTTGTATCTTTGATTGTCAACTTCGAGACCGTATCTGTTGCAAGACTAACGACTGGCGTAACCGTCACCATGTTATTCAGTGTTTTTTAAGTAGCGCAAGGATCCTGCCATGACCGTGGTAATGTTAATGTGAAAGCCTGGTATAACCGCGACGATGCTGTATTATATTGCAATGCCTGCCATTTATCCCGTTCCCGGACTATGGTCCTGTACGGAGCCCATACATTTGCCTGTACGATTACAACATGGGAGAATTTTTTACTGATCTTACACTTCAGATACCTACTTCAATAGATTCCTTGGTAATTTAGCATTCTTTTCGTGTAGTTGAATCCACAATTGTCTGGGTTTATCGGCAGAACGAAGACATTTTCGTTTTTGATCGCAATATTTGCGTGTTACATTTAACCTTTTTCAACCGTCAAATTCCTCCATATTGGTACTTCCGGGCTACATCCGGGACAGCCAAACGGGGGATTCCCCGTTTAAATCCAACCGCCATTTTGAAAAGTGATGGAATCTCTCTCGATGAAAAAGAGAAAATGTTCTCGTTCTACCGATATACCCAGACAATCGGCGGTTCCAATATATTAGAAGTTACATCTTGAGTTCTATAATGCATTGAGGTAGGTATCTTAAGTGTAAGGGGCGTAGATAATTCTCCCAAGTTGTAATCGTACAGGCAAATGAATGCGATCAGTGCAGGACTATAGTCCGGGAACGGGATAACCTGCCATGACCGTGATAATGTAATATAGTTCTACAAGGCTCGGTATGACCGTGACAATGTAATATAGTACTGGAAGGCGCTGGCATGACCGTGACAATGTAATATAGTATTGCAAGTTCAGGTATGAGAGTGGTAATGTAGAAATTTACGATTAGGACTGCTATAACCGTGACAATGTGTATTGCAAAGCCTGACATGACCGTGGCAATGTAATATAGTACTGCAAGGCCTGACGTGGCCGTGACAATGTAATATAGTATTGCAAGGCTTGGTATGACCGCCGTGGCAATGTGATATAATATTCCAAGTTCGGGTATGAGAGTGGTAATATATAGAAATTTATGATTTGCTATAAGTGACCATGACAATGTGTTTTTGAAAACCTGGCATGACCGTGGCAATGTATTATGGGATCGCAAAGCCTGGTATGACCGTGACAATGTAATATAGTATTGCAAGGCCAGGTATGAGGGTGGTAACGAGAAATTTAGGCTTAGTCCTACTATGACCGTTATAATGTATTGCAATGACTAGTAAATATGTATGACATAATGCCAGGAATATCCTTAACAATTTTATGTGATCCGCATTTCAACTAAACAGTTTAATACTATGATCATGGTGTTTAACTACCTTAATCATGTCAAAATCAAAATTACTACTATTCATTAATATTCACATTCGCTTATAAACCACAATAAGGGCTACGGTCGCGCCAGGCTTCCACGATAACATTTCCAGGGTCATGACAGGCCTTGCAATATAATACAGCATTGTCACGGTTATACCAGCCTGTCATGGTTATACCAGGCTTACACAATAACACTACCACGGTCATGGCAGGATCCTTGCGCTACTTAAAAACACTTATTAACATGATGACGGTTGTGGCAGGCGTAAGTCTTGCAATAGATAGCATGTGTCAAATTCTTTGCTGTTTGCAATGTTTTTTAGCCAAGAAAAAGGCGAGGGCTTATCCCGTTCCAGGACGAGTCCTGGAACGGGATAAGCGAGGGCCCTTAACTATGGCGGATCTGGGGGGGGGGGGCCATGGGGCCCGGGCCCCCCCCCTAAGGTTGGCCCAGAAAAAAAAAAGTTGGGCCCAAAAAAAATTTAGGCCAAAAAAGGCCTTAAGGCCTTTTGGTCATTATTGGGCCTTCTAAGGCCTTATTTTTTTAATTTTAGGCCAAATTTTGAAGAAAATGGGCCTCAATTTTTCAAAATTTGGGCCCACTTTTCGGTTTTAGGGGCCCACAATTTTTTTCAGCGCAAGCGCGGAGTTTTTTTCTCTAACCTCAAATTTGGGCCCCCCCCCTTGTTGGTTCCTGGATCCGTCACTGCCCTAATAGCATTATGATAGCACAATCAAGATCCCTGGATTTTTCGCATATTGAGTTTAACCATATATTCACCGATCTACCTAGTATGTATCCAACAGACTGACTAGAAGTCAGTCTGTTATGATGTACTACTTTCCTGTGGAAATTGCAGTGAAATATTTTGCACAAAATTATCAATTAGAGTAACCATTTCTTCAATAAAATAAGCATTACAAAATTTCAATTAAGTTGTAAGGTACAATTAAATGCAATAAAAAGTAACACAGCATATTGTCAAGTGGAAATAAGGCTAGTTGAAGTAAAAATGTGCAAATTAATTTTACCAAATCGGCCATTTTGAATAGCACTTCCTATGTAAACAAATATTAAAAATTACCAAACTTTAACATAGGTGCCTTATAGTCTGAATATAATTCAGACTAAATAGGATATAGTCTACCGATCTACCTACCAACAAAGAATTTGCAAATCCCCCGCTTTCATAGTTCAACAAGTTAGACCCAATACCACGGCTTTCATTTATAATCTGAGTGTTCTTGTTGCCGTGGTTGGGTTTAACTTCCGTGCTATGCTTTCATTGGTTGCAAATTCTCACAATCAGTTATTAATAAAACGCGCATGGAATTCTATGCGCTGCCATAGGCCATCATTAAAATTTTTTGCATCAAGGGCCGAATAGGCCAAATGTTAAACCTAGGGCGGGCCACAAGAAATGTCAGATAAGAAATAAGGCCAAGACTAGGTTTAACTTGTTGAACTACCGCTTTCAGTACATTTTTTTTGCAATTGTAACTATTAGACAGATCAGATTACTTTCGCAGACACTAATTTAATCTGCCTTGATCATACAGTACTTGGAAAGTATTGATCGTTGAATTTGTTCATCATTAATCTGATTGACTGCTTGCGGCTTGGTTCAAGGCAACTGTTGGCACCTGTCACATATGACACTTGACGGGGATTCCCCTCGATGGTGGTGGAATCTACTGTGAATCAATTCTGACCCTTGGCGCAAATAGGAAATGATCGTTCCTCTTATCAATGTGCAACGTCCACCCTGAAGTGTGGTCATGAAGAACCAATGAACCATGGAACACCCCTTTATTATTTTCAAAAGCTGACAATTTTTGGCACAAGCTTTACACCAATTACAACATGCCTCAGTAAATTCCTGAGTATTTTAGGATTCTATTTCTGTAGTTGAACCTTCAATCATATGGGTTTATCGATAGAAATGGGAAATTTCCTTTTTCATAGAGAAATATCATACCTCATTTCAAGATGGCCATAGGGGTACGTTTAGAAAGGGAATCCCTGAAATACATGTTCACGGGCCTATGGTAAAATAGATCCTCGGGACTGACACAATTCCAAAAGGAGACAGCTTGGGAGAGGGCTCTGTACTATTCTTGTACTCTTGTACTTTGTGTAATAAATAAAATAAAATAAATGGGAAAGAAGGTGAGGCAATAAAACCCCAAATTATCCCTCTGTTTGGTAACATGTAACTTTAATACAAAGAATAAAAATATATAAAATATTTAAGACTTGAAATGGAGAGAGTTTATGCGATAAAATAATATATATCTCTGAATGTTGGATTTAATTCTGTTTAGAATAAGATTGAAGAAAAATGGATAAACCTTCTAATGGTGTGTTGATAGTGGCTAACTATTTTATATAATAACAAAAAATTGAACACAATGTCAGTCTGCGAAAATATTTTGTTGTCTATTATTAAACTTCCGTACATTACACTGAATATATCAGTCCCTGAAGGCTTGATTTTAATCTTGAATAATTGAGATCGAAGAGTATAATATAGGCTTTCTAATGGTTTGCATACAGGTACATGTATGTGTGGCTAGCTATTTCAATTGATAACAAAAATCTGTACTAACGTTGTTATACCAACAAATTTTGTCTTGTGTTATTAAGTTACAAGTGCGTTTTATTTGATTTTTTATTCCCTGAAAGTTTGATTCAATTCTGGTATAACGGAGATAAAAGTATTAAACAGCTTAATTAAATTAAATTTTAAAAAAATACCAACCCAGAAAAAATGCGTTTTTTTGTTCAATTCAAACCCGAAAATTTAAATAAAATCTGAGCCCGGATTTAACCCAGAATCTTTTTTTAAACATTTGGCTTAACATCTTCTTTGACATAGGGTGCACCCCAGTTGTCCGAAACCCAGTTCCCCGAAACCCAGTTGTCCGAAACCCAGTTCTCCGAAACCCAGTTGTCCGAAATGCAGTTGTCCGAAACCCATTACTCCGAAAAATATAGTCATTAATTTACCAGAGAAAGGGGAGACGTACTTAAGCTTAGGCCAGTTTCATGCCAGTATTTGGCCAAATTAATGGCATGGACGCATTCCGATGTTCATAGATCTCTCTCTCACTTTGAATTGCATCCATTGCACGTGTTACCAGAATAGCAGGAACGGGTAATTTATTTTACATTGTGATACTAAAAAAGGTTATCAAAACACAATATATATTACGGAACAGTTTATCTTATCTTCTTCAATCTCTTTTACATGTAGGCAAAATAAAATGAATCATTTTGAAACAGATAAAATAAGTTTATGCATATAGTACTTTAAGAATAAAACAGTATACATCAATTTGTCCAAATATTTCGT